AGAGAGAGAGAGAGAGAGAGAGAGAGAGAGAGAGAGAGAGAGATGCTGAGGCAGTGAAACTACTTAGAGCAGTTTATGCAGTATCCCCATTTAAGCTGAAGCTCTGAAAACCACTGAGAAACAAGAGCTATCAGTAAAAATTTCAAAAGAAACTCATTTCACCCCATGTTTTCCTATCCTTTAGTTTTAGAAATTAAAGCACCACTAGGCATAGGCTCCACTAGGCGTCACCTTGCAGAATGCTGGTGCCATGGCCTCACACGTGACCAAGGCGCACTCTTGGGGAAAGGAAGGGAGGCGTGTCGATTCTCCTCTATTGGGTTTGTTCAGAAAGATCAAAGTTCTGTGACCATCCAGACCCTCTCAGTAGCATTTTTGCAGAAAATGTCAAGGTATTTGAAAACAGGGACCGTCTCAAGGTATCTGAAACAGCCGTCTTAGGAAGGCGGGTTTCCCTCCTGGCCGGGGCCACCCTCCCAGGACACGGGGAATGACTGACTTTCTTCCTCAGAGCTAAGGGAGGGGGAAGGGGGTTGTGCCCAGCAGTGCTGATGACAGAGCAGAGTCACATCAGCATAGTTCGCCATGTCAGGTGATGTGTTACCTCGTAGTTGTCCATGAGGGTTTTAGAAGGAGCGGGACTCAGACGGAAGGCATTATTGAGTATCCCCAGACCTAACTTCTGTGCCAGAGTAGCCCAGTTTTTGTCCGGATCAGGAAATTCTAGTAACTTGTAGAGCTGCAGCTTTGTATCTTCAGTCAGCTGCTTCATGTCTCCTGAAGGAAATGAAGAAGGACCACGACTGTGCCAGCTGACCAGAGCCACTCGGAGGGGCTGCCCCCAGCCATACTGCTCGGCCTCCAGCGCCTCCTGGAGGCACTCAGCTCCTTTACCTGAGTCAGGAGCAGCCCAGCTGAGAACCAGCAGTATGTCTTTTATTTAATTTATTTTTTTTAGCTGGGCCCTCCTGCCACCTGTTGGCAGCTCAGTGGCAGCTCAGCTCGGGCCAGGACTCGAACCGCTGTTGCTCAGAGCTCGCACTCTGAGCCATTCGGCTGGCCCAACAGTATGTATTTTAGTAGATTATAATGGGATTTTTCCTCTTTCATCTCTCCAGGATCTTCTGATGCTGAAATAAGCACTGTGCCTTCCACAGAATTGCCCCGATAATGCCGGCTCTCCCCCGCCCTTTTCAAACGACAGTGTGGAGATAACACTAGTTAAGAGAACCTGGTTTTACCACAACTCACCTTGTGCCAGTAAATCATCAGGTGTGAACTCTGGCTCGTATGGTTTCCCATTCAATATGTCAAATACCTGTTGGGAGAAAAACATGGGAACAACTGCACATTAAAGGGACCACAAGGAAAATGTTCCTTTGTAATCAAGAGGTCAGAATGTCCTTCTTGGGAGGTTCTAGTACCGCAAAGATGGAGGAGTGGAGAGAGGAATCAGCTCCACTGCCCAGGGATTTGGGGCTGGGAGGCTGCGCTCCACAGGAGCTGTGTGAGGAGGGGTGGAGGACACCACCCACCCTCACAGACAGCCACGGCCGCCGCCCGTCTGAAGGACAAAGGCAGTGCAGGCTGCCAAGGCAGCCATGTCTTGGTCAGAGTCGCTGGTCAGTGATGTCTCCCTGAGAGCTGGCCGAGGGCTGACCTTCCTCAGAGCTGAGAAGCTGGGCCCCCTCGCTGCTCTTGTTCTCTAGTAAAAGGCTGACGAGAAGGAGTTTTGTCAACTTGTTCAAACTGAGGTACAGAAATGCTCACAAGGCTGGGAGTTAGCCTTCTAGCACCATCTGTATTCTAACTGAGGGGCCAGAGAAGTCTTAAACAAGAAAATTCCCTAGCTAGGGAGGCCTTTCTGTTTCCTGCAGTCACGCTGCCGCTGGCTGACCCTGGGAAGGACAGCACGGGTCACTGATGTGGGTTATCTGGCAGCATTCTGTGGGGAGGCTTCTGGGAAAGCCAGGTGCTCAGGGTAAAAAGAGAACTGTGTGGTCTCTCTGCAAGGGTCACTCGGCTCAACCCACATGGGCAGCGAGGCGGCAACGAGCAGTTTTTGGATGTGGAGCGGCGCTCGCCCCCGAAAGTCGATTTGGTTGTGTTGGAAATCTGTGAGCGGCCCAACCCCCTTCCTCTGGCTCTTCACCTGAGTCCAAATGGTGTGGTGACTGCTTTTCACCTTCAGAGGGCAGGTCAGTGGAGGTGTGAAGACAACTTTAAGAGTGTTTACTCTGTTTATATTACTGAACTCTCCAGTTTCCTTTTATGTTCAGAAATCACTTACCAAAGTTCAAACAAACTGTAACAGTATCCCAGCTTCAAAAACTGAGATGGCAAGAATTGCGTTGCGAGTTCAGAATGGATCACTCTTAATGCGAATTTTGTGTCTTCTCTGCTCTAACCCTCCCTGACAACTTAGCTCTGATCTGATTAGGCCTACACTTTTACACTCAGAACTCTGCTGACCTAGATCTTTCATGGATAGGCTTTTCGAGGTAAATACAGCTCTTGACAAGCAGACTTTCTTAAAAAATGAAAGCCACGTGCTTTGGGGAATGAAGGCCCAGGAAGACCATCTGTTTGTATATTCCTGAACCTTTCACTCTCCCAGGAGCAGCAATCAAACAGACTGGGGCCACACTCACCTGCCAGTTGGTGGCCATATCTAGAGGTGTGGTTCCAGGCACGACGCCTTCGTCTTCCCCATCCTTTTCCCAAGTGTCATCCAGATCATAGAGAGGCTCAAAGTTCTCCACCAGGGGATCTGCTCCTGCAAAGTCAAGTTTACACAGGATTAGGTAAAGCCAGCTCTTGCCAACTTCCAACTGTCTGCAGGGATCATATTACTTACATACATAACACGTTTACTTATAAATATGCAAAACATGTGGACTGAAACTTCTAGAGGCCTTCTTTTAAATTCTAATTTACTTTGACTGTAAAAGTGTCCGAAGGCACCCTACGTAGCCAACGACACTTTCAGAACAAATGACTTGGAATACTCTTGACTCTTGCATTTAACCCTATAGGACAGTTTTAAATTGAATGATGCATCGTCAGTCTGAGGACTAATGACAGAGAAGTAAATTCAGCACACCCTTTTGGGAAGAGGAGCTGGTGTTTACCTTGCTGGGAGGACATTTGATTTGTGCCAACTTTGATAACAGGGAGTACTAAATCAGAGTCAAAGAAGGACCTTCATGCCATTTCTTACTTCATTCTCCCAGTCCTAGCCTGATCTGTGAGGCAGTAGTGTCAACTGACCATGAAAACAGTGGACAAACTTAGATGAACAATTTACAGGACTGAAGACTGAAGGAGCTGAGCTATGTCTATTCCTTAAGTGACCTTCTTCATGACTTTGAGCTCAGGACTAGGTTTTTCATATAAGTTTCTCCGTCTATCTATTGGAGAAACTATCTGCTTGCTACTCCTCACATGGAATACGGAGAATGCAAGAGAAAGCATTTCTGAAAGGGTTATAGCTTCTTGTCTGAAGGCATTTCTTAATTATCACCACTGACTTTCAAAATTAATCATACACACTGCAATCAGAGTCTCTTGTTCAAGGGAAACTTCAACTTGACAAGGAGAAAAGAAAATGCTGTTGTTTATTTGGGATATAATTTTACTTGTCAGAAAAATGTGGTGCCCCAAAGAAAAAATTCCTACATCGTTCTAAACTCAATTTTTTTTTAAAGAAAGTATTTAACTTGCTCTGTTTTCTTGAATTTATGAAGGATTTACTTTCTTAAAAAAATTTAGTAACCTCTAAAGTAAATCAAATATGTCAAAGCAGGTTTGAGATACCAATTTTGTCAAACCGTTTTTGAGGTTCTAAATATACAAAGCAAGAGAGATTTAAGGATGAGCAGGAATAATTTTTCTAGACTTCGCAGGACTACAGGATTCAATTGAATAACACCGGCAAATCCTTGCACAAAGTAGGGAAGAGAAACACAGTAGAGAGTATAAAGTCTGGAAGTTCATAGTAATTAGGTGTGATTCATAGCTCTGCCACTTACTGGGACCCTGCTACTAGGATGCAGGCCTCTCTTGTTTCCTTGGCTATAAGATGGGAATAATAATAATGGGATGTATAGCAAAGGGTTACTATGGATTAAGTAAGATTAAATGAGACACTGCATGTGAAGTGTCTAGCACAATGCCTGGTACACAGACAATAAACGCTAGCAATTTTCAGTGTCTCACACATGATAGTACTCCATACACACCCCATTTGTTTCTTCCTATCACTTCAGCTTCTAAAAGACCTTTCTTACAAAAGGAAGTCTTTCCATTATTTTTTATACCAATACATTTTTCCTTCTGGGCACTTCTGACATGATGAGACTGGTACTGCTCAGAATTCTATAAGGAATTAAATTCAACTTGAAGATCTCTTGTCATGGGAGGCAACCGAAACAACCAAACCCCAAAACAAACAGGTGAATTAGAGAGTAAAAATTAACATGACTCATAGGATGAAGCCAGGATTACTAGTCCAAACAGTGCCTTGATGGCAGTTAAAGTGGTTCGCCATAGAACTATATTTACTCATGCCTTTCAGCAGCAGAGTGAGGCTCAAAGAAGGCAACAGGGCTGCTCTATTCAAGTCGGGTTTGCACTCCTGGTAGCATTTTCCACCACCAACTGCCAGGGTGCCTTACCTGCCGCTTTGAGAAGAGCTGCCAGCCTGGTGGACCCTCTCCCGGCCGCTATGTGGAGGGGTGTGGTTCCGTCATAGGTGGTACTGTCTACATGAGCATCACCCTACAATCAGGCCCACACAGAAAAGGATTAGTCAAAGGTTCTCTCGCTCTTTTGCCCCCTCACCCCCCTGTCTTCATGGCTTCTTGGGGTCATATTACTTAACCCAGGTGCTATGTTGGGCAGGCTCTGCCACTGAAGCAATCTCCAGTTAGAGATACCAGGCATGGGGTGATGGGAATGCCTGAAGCTGCTGCTCTGAAGCCTTGAGTAGATAGTAAGTAGATAGAGCTCAATGTAGGAAAAAAGGCTGTTACCAACAGCATCCTTTGAAAAGATTTTCCTAAATGTCCCCCTTGGAATTTAATGCATAAGCCAGTTAAGTGCATCCCTCACCTCCAGAAGCAGGCAGCCGGCCAAGGAGATGTTGTCACGCTCCACAGCCAGGTGCAGTGCCGTGCGCCCCGATTTCCGCTCCTGGGCGTTGACGTCTGCGCCCGCGGCCACCAGCAGCAGCAGACACTGCATGCTGTTGCTCATCACGGCTATGTGAATGGCGCTGAGACCTGTGGTCCAAGCACAGGGACAGTCACGGGGCGGGAAGGCTGCTCACAAGCGGCCCTCGGTGCTGCTGAAAACACTGGACCACAGCGAGGGAACACGCCGGATAGGTTTTGGCAAGTCTAGTGCTGAGAGAGTCTCTAGCTCCCCACAGTCTTTACAGGTGCTGTAAGTCGATGGTTCTGCATGTCCACCTGCCGTCTCCTTCTATGTTCTCAGGAGACATGAGAGCAAATAAACATTCTCCGATAAATGATACTTTCTACGCTTCAAGCGCAGTGTTTGCTCAAGCCCCTGCTTTTCCCTCCTCCTGACTCACTATTCCCCAAAGCCACCTGTAAAGATGAGCAACAGAAATCCCCTCAAGTGGTGATGAACGCCAGGTGACTAAGGAAAGCACTGTGGGTGCAAATCAAATAATAACGACACCCATTTATCAAACACCCATTAACTGTTTAGAAAGCAGATAAAGTTATACCATGCCATGTGATTTTCTCTTACCTTCCCCGTTGGGGTGGTCGATAAGTAGTGCTGCCCTTTTGTGCTTGAGTAAAATACCGAGAATTTTATCATGTCCTTCTTTGGCAGCGAGGTGCAAAACAGAGTTACCCAAGCGGTCCAGAAGGCTCAGGTCGGCTCCGGCCCTCAGCAAGTCCTCCACCACAGCCTCTTGCTTGGTGATCACGGCCAAGTGCAAGGGCGTCTGGGAAGTGGAGAAGGGGTAGGCGATACACTGCTCAATGGTAAAATGCTGGTAACCCACGGGCGTGGCAACTGCCACTGCAGTAGGCAGAGCCATACTGTGCCATTTTCCATTCCCAGCTTCACTTCTCACTGTTGCAAATGAATTACTCCCTGTTCCATATCATATGCTTGTGAAGTATATATACTGGACTAACATTCAACCATTCAATTATTAAGATTATTTTTCTATATATACTTCTTAATAGTTTTCTTGGTTTCTCATTCCAGCCCACTCACTGTTTAACTTGTTAACTCATCTATTAGTAAATTGCGTTTTCTTGAATTTCTGGTAGGACTCTTAATCTTCAGCTGACAATTCCATATGTTAAATCAAATCACGGATATGGTATTACTGAAGAAGTTTAAATGAACCACTCAATAGAAACCAATTAACAAAGGTGCTGTCATATGTTGACATGGAAAATAAATTTGTTAAATTAAAAAACATTGTTCCATGGACTGGCTCCACTGAGACCAATTAATAGAACGTTCCCACACCCACTATAAAGGATTCTAAATGTCATAACTAGGACAACAGAACCGTCTCACTGAGAGGGCTCAGATGAACAAACAAACTAACTTGCTGACACCTAACAGGTAGGTAAATAGCCTATTTGACTTCCCTGCCCATGAAGTAGGACCTCAGCGAATACAAATGAGATGTTTTGAACACTGCCTGTTTTCAAAATGAGTAAGGCAAACAATCACGAAAGTATCTTTCAAAGAATTGAGGTCACTGACAGAGAACAGCAATATATTTTTATACAGATCAGTCTATTTCACAGAAGCCTGTGAAATCCAGCCTGTATAGTGACAATTTGCTGACACTTTCCCTCTCAATAAGCTGTTACTGTAGCAGCAACAGCTTCAAACGTCCTCACTGGTGCAGGGTGACCAGAGCACATGAGAACTGGATGAAAGATGCTCAGCCGTCTAAGTCTCAATTACAGGGATTACTTAACAGAGCAGAAACAAAATAGGATTTTTTTTTTTTTGCTAAATTTCAACTCTCTCCCTTATTTCTTTTTGTCTTTTAGAACTATACCCCAGCTTGAAATGGAATGATGTCCTAAAGACTTTAGATATTGTAGCCAAGAACCTTCCTCTTGAAAAATGAACCATTAAGTAAGTACATAAAAACTGTGTTTATCAATCAGAAATGCTATTTCGGGCGATGGGAAAAGGAAAGAGAATGAAAAAAGATTTGAAATTATAAGATTTTATACTATTCATTATCATACAAATTCTCTACTGTTGAGTAAGAAAGGGTTTTCGTTGTTTTAAAACTTCTCCCATGGTCCTATGATAGGTTTTCTATGATATTTCAAGGCTTTAGATCTTAAACCCCAGGATTATATCTTACACAGTTACACAATGTGGGGCTCCAGGAACTCTTACGCTATGCCTGTCAGCATGTGGACATATGGAGGCATTCTGCAGAGCCAAGTAGACAAATGCCCAGCAGCCCAACTCCTGCATATAGTTATATCCGAGTGACACAAATCCACAAGGGGGCATGGGCGAGGATATTCATCGTAGTATTGTCTACAGAGATGGGAAGCAAGAAGTGGGCTAAGTGTCCACTGCTGGGGAATAGCTACATTGCAGGTGGAAGAGGTACACTATGGAATTCTCTTCAGGAATAGAAACAATGAACTAGCTATAAACACGGGTGCATGGGTAAATCTCATAAACAGAGAAGGCAGAAATATAGTGACATGTAGCACGAAGCCACTTACGCATTTTAAAAATACATGCACAAAGAACTATACAGGCACAAATGAGTGCATGTAAAACTGGTGAAACTCCAATAAGATCTGTGGATTGTATCAATGTCGATTTCCTTGTTTTGATACTGAACTATAATTATGAAAGACATTACTATTGGGGGAAACTGGGTGAAGGGTACATGGGACCTCCAGGTACACTTTTTGCAACCACCTATGAATGTATAATTACATCAAATTAAAAATTAAAGGAAAAGGTTAATGCAGAACAGGACCAGTATGTATACTATAATGTGGATTGTGTGTGAGAATATACTAAAATATCTATTTAAAGTTTATATGTTTATGTAGTTAATACCTGGAAAATACTTACAAACACAATAGTTATATTTGGGAGTGGGGCTGGGAAACTTGTAAGCTGCCAGGGAGAGCAACTTGGATTCGTCAAGGAATGCATGCCCTTATATGCTATTTTTAAAACTATGAATATATAATTATAATAAATAAAAAACATAAAAGAAAAAAATACATGAACAAAAAAACCCGACTAATGTTTTATAGGAACATATGCAAATGAAATAACCCAAATCAAATGCACTAAAGTGGTTAGCTATCTTGGGGCAGGGAGGGGAACAGGAGAGTAAAATAGGGTTTAAAAGGAATAGATTTTAGAAATCTTCTACCTTTATGGACTTGGATTATTTTGAATGTGTCTCTAGAGGGTAGATGGGGAGGAAGATTTGATGATGACAGATGGCCACAGAAACGTACTAAGATTAGAAAAGGGTATTTTGGGAGAATGTTTAAGACAATTGCCAAATAGTCCAATTACTTAGAGAGCTGTACGCCTATAATTTTCCAGCAAGAAAAGTTAACAGAGAACCTTTACAGCAGATAAATGAGAGTCCAAGTCTTAGCAGTTTCTAGCTCTCAAATGGAAGTTGCCATTGGGTGTGTGTTTGAGACCTAGAAAGCATACCATGGGACCCAGAATCCTTGCCCACTAATGAGTGTAGTGGTAAGGGAGGGGAAAAATGGTGCATTCTCCCAAGAGTCCCTGAATCAGAAGGTGCAGAAGTGTCAAAGGTGGTGGTTTCAGGGTTTTTGTCTCTAGCACACTGGAGAGTCTCAATGTATGTAACCAAATGATACAGTAAGGAGTTTTGCACATAATAAATCACAACTACTAATCCTGTCATACTGTGTCCTTTGCAGGTTCTATTTAAAACAGAAATACAAGTAATTTCTTGAATCTGACCTACAGGCAGTGGAGTTAAGCAGTTTCTGAAAGGAGGACTAAAAAGTGACAACATCCCGTTCCTAGTTTGATTTGTACACTTGTGATGGTGAAAAGTTAGTTAGTCCAAAAGCCTAAGAAAAATCAAGCTTAATGCGCCAAATGACGTTCCAAATACCAACAACCCTCAAAATGGTATGAAAGGTATTTGAAGAAGATAGCCTTTAAAGATATCCTTTAGGTAGATCTAAAATTAGACCCCATCCTAGTTATTTTATATTACGAACCAGTGAGACATCCCTAACTTCATTTTTCCTTTGACATTAAGCATGACAGCCAGAGAAGAAACCTTACATCCAGTGTGAAATTATTTCCCCCATCAGGAAACACCTATTCACAAATAAAAACCTACTGAGAGCTACATGTAAACATTTTAGTACTTTTGCTTTGAGGAAATAAAAATGAGTCATATCAACCGATTTAAAAATTGAGAACTGGGAAAGGCATCTTTACTATGTAAATAATTATACATGAGTGTTGCCATATTTTTAGAGCAAGAGAGATGCTTCAGTTGGGCATCTGAGCATACCATCTAGGGCCAAGGACTGGAAAGTCACTTTGGGTTGAGTGAAGGGAAGGAGAAAACAGGAAAGCTGAGAAGGGGGCGTGACCAGGAGACTGGTACAGAAAGAAGACTGGATGGGGGCCAGGAAAGTTAGCAGAGGGGAAGGGCGCCCAGGGGAGGGAGGTGGGAGCAGCCCCGGAGAGGGGAACCCTCCTCACCTCGTGTTAGTCCCTTAGGTCCCTTAGCCAGAGAGGCTGGCCCAGGTCTTCTGGGCTGCCAACACCAGCATCCAGACTTTGGTCCTGCCCATACAGTTTTAATCTCGTTTCTTCACCTGACATCAGCATGTGCCCATTAGGCAGCCTCACTGAGTCTCCAGCTAACTTCTCTCTCTCTGTAAATCTGAAGATTTCTGTAATGGTCCCAAGTTGCTTTCGAGCCCACTTATTTTTATTTAAACCTGATTTGGGCAAAACTCTGGTGTTTCATGTTTTCCTCACTTTGAACTATCTTTGTGTTTTGAAAGACACTGTTTCCTCAACAGCCTTTTAAAAATCTTTTTGTATTCTGATTTCAGCACCTTTTTTTATATATATACATTTAATCTAGATGTTGTCAAAATGTGTTTTAGCAGATTTCAAAATTCCTGTAAATTACTTCTTTTCAAACCTAATCTTTTTCTACTTTATTTTTCTTGACAGATGTGATGCATTTATGGTAGGTTCTCCTCTACATGGATTACTCTCTGGTGGATTTCTCAAGTTTAAAGTTTGCCTTCCCCCAGCTGGATGCTATATTTCACTGTGTGGTGACTGCTATTATACCCACAGATCAAAGCATCCTAACTCATAAAAGAACATTCCCAAGTAGTAGGCTTTTAGTATATTACCTGCAAAGATGTTTTAGTTGTATTTTTTTTGCTACTGTTAACGTTATTGGAAACACACACACACACACACACACACACACAAGCTATAGATTTTTCTTCAGTTGTCTCTTTGATATTCTATTTCTGCTTACCTGGTAGAGATCATTTCTCATGTTGATAATGTCATCAGAAATCAAACCAGATGTGACTTCTAGCAGATCCCTCACAAGCTGATCATGAAGGTGGATGATTGCTAAGTGTAAGACACTGGAACAAAAACATAACGGCGATAATCAACTAAAGTGTTAATGAAAAAACAAAAGGCTCCCAAGATAATAATTAGATTTGCAGACTGCATCTGACTCTCCTACCTAGTTTTCTTTGGCCCCGTATGTTCTGAATCTACGAAGTCTGAATCTGAGGTGGGATGTTCTTCTGCTCGCCCAAGGCGGCTACACTCATTTACTGTACCTGCCTGGTCTCTGGGGCATTCAGGCTTGTGCCCGTGAGGTGGAAGGCACCTGGGCTTGGAGGCAGAGAGAGCTGAGTTCAAATCCCAGCTCAGCCTCTGTACTATGATTTCAGGGCATTTTTCTCCTCTAACTTTCCCTTACATATAGATGATGTATGTCAGATGCCTGAATTAGGATCTGCTCAGAAAAATGTAGTTACCGCACCTAGCCCTGCCACCCTCCTGCAAATACAGTATGTGGCTTTTTAAGATCTTCTGAGATCTCAAGAGGGGAGAATGGAGTCAGGTGTTTAACTACTGGGAGAAGACTCTAGAAGCAAATTCCTGAAGGAACAATGTGACTGTGTTTCTCCTCCGCAAATATTCCCTCGGCCTGGTATGGTTTTGCTCCTGGTCTCTGCCTGGACAGTGCCTCTCCACCCTTCACACTCTAATTTAAATCTTGCATCCTCAGAGAAGACTTGCCCAACTTCCTAGGCACAGCAAGTTGTCTCCCCTCAAGTTTAGCACTTAGATTGTGGGATTGCAGTTCCCTCTCCATCTCTCTCCCTCTCTGGCCTGTCATCCTCTTGGAGGCTGGTTCTCTCTGGGTCACACTTACAGCCCTAAAATAAAAGATGCTAAGAAGGAACCTAAGGGCTTACGCTAATAAGGTAAAAAATATTGGCAGGTGCCAAGCATCACTCCAAGGAACAACATTTTTTTAAAATTGTTAAAAATACATACTATTAAAATTAATTTGAAAGGACTAAACAACAACAACAATAAAAGTGGATACTGTTTGAGCTTCTGTTTACCAGACTATGCTAAGCACTTGATGCACATTATCTCATTTACCGTAACAACAATCCTATGAGGTAGGTAATATTATCCTCGTTTTTCAGATGATGAAACTGAACTCGGGCTGGGTCACATAGCTAGTGAGTGGTGAAGCTGGGGTTTAGCCCAGGCCTGCCTTGCTCCAAAGCCATCTCTTAATCCCTTAGGCTATCCTGTTTCAGGTGTACATGTGCTCTGCTCTACAGAGCTGTAAATGAACATCTAAAAGGACGGATACGCACAAGTATGGGCAGACCATGATGCAGGGCACACTCAAAGTAACACATGGTGGCAGTACTTCTGGGCTTTGAGGCACAGGCTGGATTTTCTCTAATTTAAAGATATTAGGTGTCATTTTACCCAGGCCTCTTTCTTAACAATAACAAGTATATCTTGGGATTGACACTGGCACAGGAGGACCTAAAATAATAAATTGTGACTCTGTTACTTATTTTCAATGCACGATTTCAGCGTTTCACTATTGTCTCTTGAAATGTGGGGCTGGAAGAAGACTTCTGAAAAAGGCCTGAAGTCTGATGCAGACATGATACACATATACCAAGAAAAATGCTGAACTTCAAAAGCTGCCTAAAAATTTCCATGTGCAGCTCAGCATTTCATAGCAGAAGTACTTTACCCTCCCCCATAAATCCTCACACCCTCATGGGAATTTCCCCAATACCAGAAGTTTTTTATTATATTTCTTCTTTATTGTATTTTCTGTGATGAGTAATAGACACAGGATTCAGATGATTAGCTGAAAATGACAAGCTCAATGAAAACAAGAGGCCTGAGCTGTGAAGGCAAAACGTATCTCTTGTCTACATTCTTATGAGGACTCCTCTGGACTCCCCAAGTCTCAGCTCTCTGGCCTCTAGAGCCTCCTTGTTAAAAATACATACTATTAAAATTAATTTAAAAGGACTCAATAATAACAACAATAAAAGTGGCTACTGTTTGTTTGAGCTTCTATTTACCAGACTATGCAACGAGTATGTCTGTGGTCCTAGGAGAGGACTCTAAGCACTGATTTCCTGCTTGGGCAGGGAAGGCCATCTCCTCAGCCCCTCATATATGTCCAGGGTCCTTACACTTGTCTATGCCTCCCCCTCCCCACTCAATGCACCCACCTGAATGCATGAGCCTTGTATCCCCACACTCCCCCCTTCAAACCCCAACAGTCCTTTTCGAACTTGTATGTGCTCATCTTGCTTAGACTCGTCAATTCAACAGGTCCCCAAAAATGTCATTTGAAATGCTGCTGTCCTGTTTTGGTTAACTGCTTTCTCTTGTGGTTATATGTTATTAAATGCTACCTGGATAATTTAATCCTGTTAAATAAAAGACATTCTGTTGTTCATGACATTACACAAAGAAGGCTGTACCAGTGTCTCTCGTACTGTATAACAAGGCCAGTGGTTACACCACATCCTCGGTTACGATGCAAGGAATGAGAACAAAAGTCTCTGAAGCCCTGAGGTTGGCACTTTCCTAAAACATTTGCTTCAGTTTTTAAACCGATGTTTAAGACACAGCACTCAGGAGCTCTTTCACAGAAAAGTGTTTCTCATTGTCAACACTATTTTAGGAAGGTTTTAGATAAGGCACTTGACTTGAATCTTGAATCTGAGGGCTGCTGTCTCTTGTTATTTTTATAGGCTTTTGAGATCATTTTAGAAGTCTCAAAGAAAGGACTAAGAGAGCTGTTTTAGAAAGAAGCCAGGTGGCTTTGCAAATGTAAGCTCAGTCACAGCAGGAATGGGAGGCATGGTGCTGGGAATGTTAGACTCCCACATAATGTGGGTTAGAGAGGTCATGAGTCTGATCCACTCGCAGACTGGCGCCCATTAACAGAGGCAGTAGAGAAGGAACCAGTAACTGGGAAGAAAATGACAATTGCCTCTTAATCATTTTGTTGTTGTGCTGTCTTTTTTTTTTTTTAAGTCTAGCACACCCAGTATTCCCTAGAAGTCTCCTATCCAAGTCCTAACCAGGCCCAATCCTGCTTAGCTTACAAGGTCAGACATGTTCAGTTAATGGGTTTCCTCTTAAGTATACGATCATTACAAATATACAGTTGGGATAACAACTGCTTTAGGGATTCGAAAGGACAAAATTTTACTATTACGTTATTCTAGTGAATAAAGAAAATATTATTCCAATAAACAAGTATTTGTTTATTAAATATTATTCCACATTTTATTCCCATAAATAAAGCAAGGCTTTTCAAAAATTATTATTCCCCACACACATCTTAGTTTTCTTGCCCAGAATGGTACAGGACCTGATAATTTTCTTTCTTTTTTTAAAGATTTTATTGGGGAATTGGGGGAGGGGAACAGACAAGTTGCTGTCCCTTTTGTTCCTCAGTCCAGCTGTGGAGGACGCCGCCCCACTGGCCTATGTTGGTATTATCATTGGTATTATCTTCCCAGGTGAGGCAGTCGCTCACCGGCCATTGGACAGCTGCTCATGGCAGCTCACGAAAGCACACGCCTGCTGCCGGCCAGCCCCACTGCAGCCTATGCCGTTGCCAGCGACTCACGGCAGCCCAGCCACAGGTCGAGCTGTTGTTCACCATCCCAACTGTAGAGGGCACAGTGTCACTGGCCCGCATGTGGGATCTGAACCGGGGCCCTGCTGCTCAGAGGTGGCGTCCCAAGCCAACTCTTAACCAACGTGCCACTCGGCTGGCCCCTGATAATTTTCATCAATTCATCTTTTCCCATATGTGTACAATGATTATCTCTCTTCCCTACCCTAAAACAACCCTTGTGTGCAGAAGTTCTTTCTTACCTGTCCCCATTCTCATCCTGCACCGCCGTGAGATGGCGCTGGACAGCCAGCAGCATCTTCACATCTCCTGTGACTGCGTAGTCAAACAGGGCATTGGCATGCCGCTTGGCAAGCTGCACAGCCTTCTCTAGAAAGAGGTTATCTGCAAGACAATGAACATGATCACAGGTGAGTTTCCTACACTAGCTTTACAGGTATGGCATGCCTGAGGCCAAAACCACCAGCACCAGCGTTCGGATACCTTGACACACATCGTTTTAGTGGAAAGTGCTCCTTTCAATGCTTCCGGATTGTGTTCACTAGAAAAAGCACAACTGGACATTGGCTCACTGACAAATATAGAGGCTGATCTGAAAAATCTGTCTACAGGCTGTTAGGGGGAAAGAAGTTCAGAAATGTTTTATTTTAAGGGGAACAATCTCCAAATAATGTGGACTGGATTTTGCCACAGATAATCAGTAATCAATCTCTTGGTGGAGTAATTCTTCATTGGAGTGTTTTTTTTTTTGACTTTCAATATTATTTCATATTAATTTCAGGTGTACAGCATAGTGGTTAGACATTTACATAATTTAAGAAGTGATTCCCCCTGACTACTCTAGTACCCACATAGCACTATAAATATTGGGTTGTCGGAAAAGTCATGACGTATTTTTCTGTTTTTCGTTGCAAAAGTGCATCATGACTTTTCCGACAACCCAATAGTTGTTACCATATTATTGATTATATTCCTTATGCTTTACAACTCCATGACTATTTTGTAATTACTATTGTATACTTTTAATCCCTTCACCTTTTTCACCCTGCCCCCAACCCCCTCCCATCTATCACCCCAACAAATCCAGTACCCATCTGACACCATACATAGTTATTACAATATTATTGACTATATTCCCTATGCTATACCCTACATCCCCATAGTTAATTTGTAAAAAACAAATTACTTCTTAATCCCTTCCCCTTCTTTCACCCACACACCCAACCCCCTTCCCATCTGGAAACCATCAAAATGTTTTCTGTATATATGAGTTTGTTTCTGTTTTGTTTGTTAATTTTGTTCTTAGATTTCACATATAAGCAAAATCACACTGCATCTGTCTTTTTCTGTCTGACACTCCACTCAGCACAACACCCTCCAGGTCCATCCATGCCACCGCAGATGGCAAGAATCCATTCCCTTCCATGGCCAAGCAATAATCCATTATGTATACGTACTACCTACTCTTTATCCATTTTTTCATCGATGGACACTCAGGCTATCTCCATATCTTGGCCATTGTAAACAATGCTGCAATGAACATATAAGTTTCACATGTCCCCTCAAAGTAGCATTTTGAGTTTCTTTGGATAAATACCCAGAAGTAGGGTTACAGGGTCATTCATTGTCTCTTCTTATAGCTTTTTTTTCTAAAGTCTATTTTGTCTGGTATAAGTATTTCTACCCCAGCCTTGTTTTATTTTATTTTTTATTTTTTTAATTTCATTTTCACGAAATATCTTTTTCCATCCCTTTATTTTCTGTCTGGGTGTGTCTTTAAGTCTGAAGTGAGTCTTTGTAGGCAGCATCTGTAAGGATTTTGTTTTTCTTCAGCCCTTATCCATTCAGCCCTCCTATGTCTTTTGATTGGAGCATTTAATCCATTTACATTGAAAGTAATTGTTGATAGATATGTAGTTACTGCCATTTTATTATTCATAATTTTGATTTTTTTTTCTGTCTTAAATAAGTCCCTTTAAGATTCCCTGTAATACTGGTTTGGTGGTGATGAACACCTTTAGCTTTTTCTTGTCTGGGAAGCTTTTTATTTGTCCTTCGATTTTAAATGACAGCTTTGCTGGGTAGTCTAATCTTGGTTGTAGGTCGTTGCTTATCATCACGTTGAATATTTTGTGCCAATCCTTTCCGGCCAGCGATTTGGAAGACAAAGTAGCAGAAAACACCCAATTGGAACAGCAAGAATAAAAAAGAATTTTAAAAATGAGGATAGTTTAAGAGACCTCTGGGACAGCATCAAGTGTAACAATATTCGCATCATAGGGGAACCAGAAGGAGAAGAGAGAAAGCAAAAGATTGAGAACCTATTTGAAGAAATAATGACCGAAAACTTCCCTAACCTGGTGAAGGAAATAGACACACAAGCCCAGGAAGTGCACAGAGTCCCAAACAAGATGAACCCAAACAGGCCCACACTTAGACACATTATAATTAAAATGGCAAAGGTTAAAGACAGAGAATCCTAAAAGCAGCAAGAGAAAGGCAACTAGTAACTTATAAGGAAGCTCCCATAAGACTGTCAGCTGATTTCTCAACAGACACTGCCTGTAAACGGCTGGAGGCTACCTGGGAGGAGCTACAAAGCGATCTGCAGTTGTTTGCTGCCTGTGCTAAACCTAGAGGCATGTGGGAGAGGCCACGCTGCTAACTGAGGATGGCTGCCACCTGTACCAAGCCTGTGGTAACTCCACAAAAGCCAGGACACCCGGAGGCCTGCTGCCGCCTGCCGGCTCCCTTAATGTTTAACCACTAATAAAGCCTCGCGTGGTACTTGAGTTGAGTAAGGCAGGGTCTCAGGGAGTCACTAGAATGGGAAGAGTTGTGGTCACCAGGTTAATATAGTCTCTAGATTGGTGCCAGTGCTGAGCCTGGAGCTACTCAGCAAAAGTCTCAGAGCACACTGAGGCCAATCGCCACCTGCATGGAGCCAGCTGGACTCCAATAGTTTTCCAAGAAAGAGTGTGGGAGGAGCTGGCTGTTTGAGGAAAAGTACCTTCAGCGGTGCACAAGTTGGGTGGGGCAGCGTTCCAGCTGAGTCAGCGGGGTGAAGCAGTGGAGCTCACTAGGCCAATCAGATTCAGATTTGGCCGGAGGGCTCAACACAGGAAAGATGACTCCTGCCTGCTGGCTGCACGGGAGGAAGGCTCCTTAACTGGGAAAATGTCTACTGTCCTCCAGCCCTCCCGCTGCAGCCACACACCTCAGCCTGCTCTCCATATATCTCCAAGGCCCCTCCAAGTCACCACCCCTGCGCTGGAACCCAAGGTGAGTGTCTGCATGCGATTCTGTGCGCGCGGGCCGTTTAAGTGGATCCTTGGTTTCCCACAGCCTTTGGTACCACCCAAACGGTCGGAATCCCCACTGTTTTTCACAGCCAGATGTTGTGGGGGCTCCCCTTCCCAGCACTTAGTACTCTGGGCTGGGGAGCCTGGGATCCCTCGCTCCTCCAGGGGGGAACTTCAACGGCCGAGCTATATCTCCTGATTCTCAATCGCCACAGGGAGGTTTGGGGCTTATTTTGCGTCTCCACTCCTCCTACGTGTCTTGACGGGCTTCTTCTTTGTATTTTTAGTTATAGGATTTCTGTTCAGCTAGACTCCAGATGGTTCTCCAGGTTGATTGTTCTATATAGCTGTAATTTTAATGTGGGCATGGAAGCATGCAGGCACAGTGTTTATCTACTCCGCCATCTTGGATCTCCTTAATTGGAGTTTTGAACAACTCTTTTGTTAGGCCAAGTGTCAAAAAACAGTTTTTGCCACAGACTTTCCATGAACCATTGGTGCTTTTGTAAAGGTTGCTTCCTGAAGGTCTGGGGAAGGCAAATTGGGGTCTGCAGGCCAAATCCTGTGCATGGCTGGTTTTTATATAACCCCTTAGATAAGTGTGGTTTGTACATTGTTAAAGGGATGTAAAAAATACATGACAAAGACCACATGTAGCCACCAAGTCTAAATATTTACTAACTTTCCCTAACAGAAAGTCTTCTGAGTACAATCTAGGATGACCTAGACTCCTGACACATGCTCTAATGCGTACTGGTTCAAAGTATACACAGAAGTACCCTGTCCCTCCTAATCCTAATTCTTCAAAAAGGGCATCAGGATAACAGGAAAAGTTCTTATTTTGAGGCCAAGTTCCACTTTAGCATGACAGTCAAGCTACAGTCTAGAGAGGGGAGACTATTAAAGTTATAGAAACTGTTTTCTATTATCCGTGGTAAAAATGAATTAGATTGTCTTTCATGATACCCTAAAACAGCATGGTTATGATTGGACAATGCATATGTAAATTTCTGTACTTTATATTCAAAGATAATACTGGGAAAATGGAAATCCCAGTGTGAATAAAATGACCTGACACATGCTTTTTAAAAAGGATACAGGACTCTGAAGAGCACATTGAACTAAATATTGATACATCAACTTTAGATTAACAAAAAAATAAACCAGTCATCTGGAAATAACTTCTATACCTAGAGCTGATCCATGCCCTCACCAAGCAATACAATGTAATCATCTGTGTGTTCACTTACCCTGAAACCTAGAATTCTCTTCCTTTACTCCCACTGTATACATCAGAGTAACCTCATCATCCTCATTGCTGGACTCCTTATCTTGTTCTGTGGTTTCAGTGACTTTCCCGGGGAGATTTATAGCCTGTCTGTCATCATTGTCCTCACAGCCTCCAGGGTCATTTTTAGATGAGGTGTCCATGGTTCCTAAGAGAAAAGCAAAAACATCAGCTTTTTCTCACTAAAATATATTAATTAAGCTATAATTCACTGTTTTAATGAAGGATAGAGAAAGGTAGGAGGCAAGTTTACTGCAAAGGGGAAAGAAAAATAATAATTTAAAATTCCTATTAAAATGGTCATAAGTAACATATTTTGGAGCTATTTTAAACTTTTACTTCTAAAAAAACTTTTTAGAATTGAGGTATAACTGACATATAACATTATATTAATTTCAGGGGTACAATATGATTTGATATTCATTTCTATTGCGAAACGACCACTACAGTTAAGCCTAGTTAACATCTGTTGGCATATACAGTTACAAAAATTTTTTCTTGTGATAAGAACTTTTAAGATGTTAAGAAACATTTTTTTTTGTACACTTCTGAAAACTTACATCTCATTCTGTTTATTTGTAAAGGACAAAATGAACTAAAGCTCTTCTGTGAATTGCAGGGAAGTGGAATTTTTAAAGTTCTTGAAAGCAGAGCACTTTTTTCCCCCCTAATGCTAATTAACTAAGTAAGTTGTAAAGACATGATCTCAATTCACATTCTTTAGTGTGGGGGTATCCAGTGTACCATTTGTGATCATGCTCTTTCAGGTCTGACTACGTTATCTGACAGGTATGATGAAAGAACATAGGTTTCATGGGCAGACCTGGTTCAAACCCTGGCTCTGCCAGTAACAGATATGTGTCTTCCATGAGTGACTGAACATTTCTGAACCTTGGTATTCTCTGGCTATTAAATGGAGATACTAATATTTTCCTTACAGAGCAATCACGAAGTTTACAGTTAAAACATGTTAAAGCAGCTGACATAAAACAAACATTTAATACAAAGGAAGACTTCATTGTATTATTTCTTTAATGGGTACACTAGAATGGACATGTAATATAAACTAAGAACACATGATGTGATACCTGCTAATTAAGGGGTGAATTTGATGGGAAAAGGCCATCCCTATAAAATTCAAAATGTCTCCCAAAGTAGAGTATTTAAGAAAGTAGAGAGAGCAGGTAAGTTTGGTGATTTTTTTATGTTTGAATAGTCAAGTCTCTATATGTCCCTTTTTAATGTTCTTTTCTTACCCTCATTCATGCCATTTCCAAAGTAAATATATAAACATAAATGTAGCATCAGGAGTAGAATCTATACTCTCTCCAGGAAATAATATATTTTTTGAAAACTATCTTAGTTTATTTGCATTCATCAACTTTTTTCAAGATGATAATGTTGTGATAAATAATGATAATAAACATTTTGGCATTAAGTTCTTTGTTCCTCAATATTAAAACAAAAAAATTACTTACCATGCTTCATCCCAGCATTAGATTTCGTGGGTCCAGGGTGGAAGGTAATTCCACTATATGTAGGAAATCCATAGTGGGGAAAGCCATATCCTGAAATGGCAAGTAAAACAAAGGAACACTCATTATGTTTGTTTGTTTGTTTTTTAATTTTTTTTTACAAAGACTCAACAACCTTAGCCCAGCACAGGCTTTGGTGTGGGAGGGCAGTGTGCCCGACATGGTGTTTCTGTTGACAGTAAGATCATTAAGGGGGCTCATGGATGATCACAATTCTACTCTGGCAAAGTTTACTCAGGCAGTGCCCAAGCTTGGGGTAGTGTGGGGGAGTCCATTCTGGACAAAATCTCCCACACCCATGGAGAGGAAAGGCTAATGGAGAGTGGTCACCACCCAAACTCAGACTTGCCAATACAGAAGACAGGAAAAACTGCACCAAAGAAAGTACAGAAAAATATACTGACTCCTCAGTGGAAACATGGCCACCACTGTTCATTCCCACACATTTTTGGTAGAAGCATAAACTGGTAAAACTTTTGGGGGAAAGTAGCTGATATTAGATGTTATACTCTCTGACATAATTTTACTTCGAAGAATCTAATTAAAAAGTAATCTGGAATAAAAGAAATGCAATCAATGTGGTAGAAGAGTTCAGTATCGTATTTTGTATTAAAAAACAGGAAACAACAGTCAAGTAAGTTACATTATTATTTGTTCACCTGATGAAATGTTATGAATCATTAAAATGACACTTAAAAAATTATATTACCAAGGGGAAATGCTTATGGCAACCCATTAGGGAAAAGCAGCATAATGACTCTCTATACATAATCATGATATGATGATAATAAGTAGCTAATACAAGTAAATGGATTAAAATACTGTGCATAGTGAGGATATGCACAGCTGTATTCGGGAAAATGCATAAATATATATTATAATGTAGGCATGGAAAAAATTAGAAGTAGTTAACTTTCAATGGCAAGATTTTATGTATTTTCAAATTTTCTATAATTTTCAATGTTTCCAAAGAATACCAACACAAGTAAGCCAAAAAAAAAAGAGAGGGAATATACCAAAATGTTAACCGAGGTATTCTTTGGATAACTGGCCTTGGGTGACTTTTTATCTTCTTATAATTGTTGGTATTATCTATATATTGCAAAAAGAACATGGCATTTCTTTGCCAAAAAAATTATAGTGGTTGGGAAGCTGTAGTTTAACATATCCTACTCAATAAAGTCATAGCCACACCACCCACAGACAAGCTGGGAAACCTAGGAAAAGAAAGTTCGCCCCTCTCTGATGTGAAAAAGCTTTAGAAAGAATAGGCCTGCTTCATACCTGGACCCGTGCTGCCAGTACCCCCTCCTCCACCGCCACTGCCATACATGCCTCCGCCTCCAGCCCCGGCACCACCACCACCTCCAAAACTATCCGAGAAATTGGGCATGAGCTTCTGCCGCTTCCTCTGCACTTCCTCTTTATCTGTTGTTAAAGGAAGAGAAACCAGGGGAGAAAAGATTGATTCAGTTCTACTACTAGTCACAGAAAGGATATTGATTCTAATAGTATTTTTAAACATCTTAAAGGGAAACAGAAAGTACCCAAGGAGGAAGAGATGCCAAATTTCAAGAAGCATTATATTTATTCCAGTGATACGAAGACGGAGAACCAGCCTCAGAGAGACCACAGAACAGTACACACCCAAATCCTCTCTGCAACAGTATCTTGAGGCCCCAATGTCATCCAAATCAGGGAGAGACTAGATTGCCCATCAAAGATTAAGATACTGAATAAGAAAAACATTACTGAGCATTTTCACTTGGTCATACAACACAACTACTGTACCACTTATTATGTATCTCCCATGAGTTAAGTGCCAGGGATAGAGAAGTATGACATACAGTCTTTGCTGTCGAGAACCCTCCAATGTAATTTTAAGGTGTGGTGGAGACTCAAGAGAGACAGCACAATAATGCTATATATGTTAAATGCATGGTGCAAACCAGTATTCCAGCAGTTCAGGGAAGGACTTCTAGGACGTCCCTGTGGGCTGGGAAATTCGGGAAAAGCGTCCCTAAATCAACTTGATATCAGGAGACAGCAAGTGGAGGATGTTTTGGGAAGGGGATACAGAGGGCAAGTAATGAAGGAAAGAATGCGTACTGTGTGCTTATGAGAACGGCAGTGGATCTGTTTCACTGAAGTGAAAGTTTAGTATGAGGAATTCTTGAGAAACAGGGCTGACTGGGACCATACGGTGGAGCACCTTAACCATGCACTGAAGGTATTTAACTTACAGGCAGGAGAGCCAACAAATGTTTTTGAACTAGAGAATAATGTGCGGTGGTGGTAGTTTAGGAAGATTCACCTGTCACTGGTACATAGGACAAAATGGAGTCAAAGCGAGAGGCAGAGACAATGCAGACATAAGGTAATGGAGGCTGTTCCTTGGTGATCACCATGTTAACAAAAATGGGTGGACCCCAGAAATACAGTAAAAGAGGGATTTGTAGCTGTTGGGGTGACTGATGGGCTGTGGAAGGCTAAAGGTCTAAAACCACTACTTGACTAAACTACAGTGATGCTGAGAGTTTTGACTGTCCAGGTCTAGACGCTTGAGACTTTCTTCCTTCATTCCTCATATGGTTGCTCTGTTTTTCTTTAGCTTCTCACTACCTGTGTTTCTTGCCAGTTCCACTGCCCCTCTGAGTTCTGGCACTGCCTTTGTGGTCTATCGTTGTGTTCTTGTTTCTTCTTTCTGTTTCCTTTTCTCTTTGCTGATTTTCCAACTATATATTTTTTCTCCCTTCGCTCTTTTGGGCTGATGGAGTGAAAAAAGTTTTTGTTTTTTGTTTAAATGGAATAAACAGTCAATGTGGTATCCTTTTTTCATAATCAGCAGCCCAATACTTAATGATTGTCCTATTTCTGATTCTTCAATGTCAGGTTGGGCAGTTGTCTGTGTTTGGAAATAGCTTCACTTATTTCTAAATCTGCAGTTGTTCCTGTCATCTCAGGGCTAGAGAGAATGCTGCTGTTTACTGATTATCTCCCAATCATCTGAGTGAAGTTGAAAGATGAAGCAGGGGAAAGTAGGGTAGCAAAGTGCACTTAAAAAATAATGGTTTAAAAACAGATCATGTCCAGACTTGTCACCTTTCAGGAAACTGTGCTCCCACTAGAAATCAGTGATCTCAAAGTGGAGAAACTAACAATTTCCTTATCAAAGGTTATGGACAGATTTATAAGTTTTTTCCATCAGTTCTACCAACTGGGTAGGTCAAGTCAGTTATTTAATGAGCATCTACTATGAGACATATACCGTTCTAGAGCAATGAACATGAAAGACCAAATCTGTGACTAAAAGAATATTCCTACGGGAGGTAGGAAGAAGACATTAGATACAAATTAGTAGGGAAGACAATTTTACGTATTGATAAAAATAATGAAGAATATAAAATTAGTTAATAAGATAGGGAGAAACTGGAGGGGCTGGGGGCAATGGAAGATGTGCTCAATGACTTCTGAGAGGTATACAATGATTCCTCGGGTTGCAGAGTCAGGAACATTTTCATATACTTACTCTCATGTTAAGTAGTCTGCTACTTTTCTGACCAGTCACATGCCTGGTGTGACTGTCTCCTTGGAATTATCTCACTTTTCGATTTTACAATCCAGAAGGGTTTATAGACTAAGGTAATTTGTTATCTTCAATAAAACAGTTCTAATCTCATAATGACTTAATCACAATACATGTTGGCCATTCTTTCTGTGGAGCTCAACTGCTAGCCCTAATTTTTCCAGAGGGTTCTTCTTTTATTATTTGTGTTGCATCAAGCTTTCAGTCAATGATAGTTTGGAAGGTAAGTGCTTGAAGCATTTAGGTGGGATTCTGAACTTTCAGGAGACCCCATTCTCTAACCCCAGAACCAGGTGGCTCCTACCATGATAGTGTAGCAATGAAAGTAACAGTCTGAACGTGTCCCTCCTGGATCATACTATCTTGGTGCATATACTACTGGGGAAGGCAGACATGCAGCCTAGAGACCAAGCTCAGCTTTGAATGTTTCTAAGCTCATATATATCTGGGTTTCCTTTTTAAAACATGATTCTCTGTGTTAGAAAAATTGATATTATTTTGAAGGCATATTTTAGGACAAGAAATCTATTTTTGTTTCTCATAAAGTTCAAAAATTTCACCATGATTTTCTTCTGTGTCTACTTTTAAAGGAGGGTGTTTAAAGCAGTGATTTTCCAATTGTATGCAGACTGAGGCACTCGGAAGACCTCAGGCAGCTCCTGGCTAGGGAACTGCAGAGAGGTGAGACAGCTTCTGAGAAAAGGCTGAGTGGGCAGAGCTGTCCACCTCTGTTTTAACCAGACCCTACCAGGTTTACATACTGAGATTCTGCATGAAATTTCATGTGGAGGCAAAAGAAAGGCTCCTCTGCTGACAATGTTTTCAAACCACCAGTCACGGAATGCACTATAAATCTGACTCATCAGTGGAGAGGTCACAACCTCAGAAAAGAAACAAGAACTCACAGAAGCACCTTCTAAGTGCTCCTGCCACCGCATGAATTCTAGGAAAAGAAGGTCCTCTTCAGAATCACCGCATCGCATATTGCTATCACAGGATCCAACACATGTGTGGACCGTTGCTGCAGCACCTTTGTGGTTTCCAACCTCAGCCAGGCCCTGGATGTCCCATGACGGTCATCTATCGACCTCCCGCGCTAGGCTCACTTCCCTCTAGTTCAGCAGTTTCTAATTCTGTTTGTGCCATGGCCCATTTTGCAGTCTGGTTAAGTCTATGGTCCCTTCTTAGAATCACAGTTTTCAATATGTAAACTACCAAAGAGGATTACAGGAAAGCTAATTATATTTCAGTACATTTCTATCTATGGAGCCCTTGGGGGTCAGTGGACACCAGGTGTAGAAATACTTTTGGACAATTATCCAGTTTGGGGGCCTGTTCCACTCATTCTGAAAGGATTCTCAATGCTGAATTTCCCACCCTGCCCTCTGGAGTTCCAGTTCTGCCTTTTGACTGGCCTATTAGGAATTTCCACAGGAACCTAAAATGCAACATGTTATAAACTGAACTTCCTCTCTTCCCACCTAAATCTACTTTTGCTCTCTTGATTCTTTTATCAGCGCAACCACGTCACAACCTTCCTAGGCTGGGATGCCTACAACCATCTATGACTCCTGAGTTTTTCCCCCACCTCCGACCTCAGCCAGCCTCTGGGTCCTCTTGACACCATCAATGAACTGCCTTTTGAATCCACCTTCTCCTCTCATTCCTGGCACTAATATCTTTAATAGTCTCACCGTTTCTCACTTGGATTCTTGCATTAATCTTCTGACTCATTGCCTGCTGTCCAGATAATCTCCTCAGTGTCTGCATAAGACGTCAGGGCCATCATTCCTAATTCAAACAGACCTGGTCCTTCCCCTCTCCGGAATCAAGGAAAAGTTCTTTAGTTGCCAATCATAGCGCTTGAGAGGCTGGCCCCAGCCTTCCTTTCCCGCTTGCCCTAGGAGTCCATCTCAGAGCTTATGACACTTTTCTATGAACAAATACAAACTGTTTTAGCTCCTCAGGTTTCTAAACCCTAGGAAACGCTTTTCTTTTTCCTTTCACATCCAACTATTGAAATACATCCCCAATTTTAAGGACCTTGAAGACGCCCTCTTCTTGGTGACTTTAGAAGCAAGGGCTCTCTTTCCTCAGCATTCTCATCCGTGTTTGCGGATGCTTCACTTTTGGAACAAATCAAGGTAATTAATTAGCATTACAACAACTTAAGGAGACTATTATCTCCTCTTCTTCGTGTGTCTCTGGAGAGAAAAAGAATGGTGCTTTTTTCATTTTTATAGTTCTGTACAGCACTGGGGCTGAATCTTTTGTTCACCTGCCAGAGGTCCGTTGGTGGAGTGGCTGACTCCCCTACAGAGCAAGCCTTATCTTTTTATCTCAACTGCCTGAACCCTGAGTTACTGAATAAATGGTACAGTTTCAAATTCAAAGACAAATTCTCAAATGTCTAAATCTCATATAAGCTTGGTGGAAATAACATTATTTTAAAAGGCTGGACTTAGTTCCATGACCCCAAAATAGTGTATTACTTCTCTCTTCCCTAAAAATAAGTACCATGCTGGGTCATAAGGTACTTCTATTTTTAATTTTTTGAGGAACCTCCATACTGTTTTCCATAGTGGCTGCACCAATCTGCAATTCTATCAACAGTGCACCAGGGTTCCCTTTTCTCCACACCCTCGCCAACACTTATTTGCTGGTTTATTGATGATAGCTATTCTGATGGGTGTGAGGTGATATCTCATTGTGGTTTTTATTTGCATCTCTCTGATCATTAGTGAGGTTGAGAATCTTTCCATATGTCTACTGGCCATCTGTATGTCCTCTCTGGAGAAATGTCTATTCGGGTCCTCTGCCCATTTTTTAATTGGATTTTTTTTGGTGTTGAGTTGTATGAGTTTTTAATAAATTTTGGATATTAACTCCTTATCAGATGTATCACTGGCAAATATCTTCTCCCATTTGGTAGGATGTCTTTTCATTTTGTTGATGGTTTCCTTTACTGTGAAAAAACTTTTTAGTTTGATGTAGTCCCATTTGTTTATTCTTTCTTTTGTTCCCCTTGCCCGGGGAGATATATCAGTAAAAATATTACTAAGGGCAATGCCTGAGAGTTTACTTCCTATATTTTATCCTAGGAATTTTATGGTTTAGGGTCTTACATTTAAGTCTTTAATCTATTTTGAGTTTATTGTTGTATATGGTGTAAGAAGGTGGTCCAGTTTCATTTTTTTTTGCATGTACCTGTCCAGTTTTCCCATTTATTGAATAGACTGTCTTTATCCCAATGCATATTCTTGCTTCCTTTGTCATAGATTAAATGACTATATAGGCATGGATTTATTTCTGGTCTCTCTATTCTGTTCCATTTTGACATATATGTCTGTTTTTATGTCAATATCATGCTGCTTTGATTACTATGGCCTTGTGGTATAATTTGATATCAGGTAGTGTAATACCCCAGCTTTTTTCTCCTTTCTCAGGATTGCCATCACTATCTGGGGTCTTTTATGGTTCCATATCAATTTTAGGGTTATTTGTTCTAGTTTTGTGAAAAATGCCATTGGTATATTGATAGGGATTGCACCGAATCTATAGGCTGCCTTAAGTAGTATGGACATTTTAACTATATTAATTCTTCCTATCCACGAACATGGTATATATTTCCATTCATTTGTATTTTCTTTAATTTCTTTCTTCAATGTCTTATAATTTTCTGAGTACAGATCTTTTACTTCCTTGTTTAAATTTATTATATATATATATATATACACACACACACACACACACACACGTGTGTGTGTGTGTGTGTGTGTAGATGCAATTGTAAATGGGACTGTTTTGTTAATTTCTCTTTCTGATAATTTGCTGTTGGTGTATAAAATGCAACTGATTTCTGAATATTAATTTTATATCCTGTTAGTCTACTAAATTCATTCATCAATTCTAATATTGAGCCGTCGGAAAAGTCATGATGCATTTTTGCAATGAAAAACACAGAAAAAATACATCATGACTTTTCCAACAACCCAATAGTTTTTTGGTGGAATCTCTGGGGTGCTATCTATATAATAATGAGTTTTACTTCTTCCTTTCCCAGCGTATTTATCCAAAGAAATCCAAAACACTAATTTGAAAAGATATATGCCCCCCTATGTTTACTGCAGTGCTATTCATAATAGCCAAGATGTGGAAACAACCAAAATGCCCATCAATAGACGACTGGATAAAGAAACTGTGGTACATTTATACAATGGAATGTTACTCTGCCATAAAAAAGAATGAAATCTTACCATTTGCAAAAACATGGATGGACCTAGAAGGTATTATGCTAAGCGAAATAAGTCAGACTGAGAAAGACAAATATCACATGATCTCACTCATACGTGGAATCTAAAAAGCAGAATAAATGAATGAACAAAACAAACAGACTCATAGATACAGAGAACAAACTGATGGTTGCTAGATGGGAGGGGGATGAGGGATCAATGAGAAAGGTGAAGGAATTAGGAAGCACAAATTGGTAGTTATAAAATCGTCATGGGGATGTGAAATACAGTATGGGGAATACAGTCAATAATATTGTAAAAACTATGTATAGTGTCAGATGGGTACTAGACTTATTGGGGGAGTTACTTCATAAATTATATAAATGCCTAATCACTACACTGTACACCTGAAAGTAAAATTGAATGTCAACTACAATTAAAAATATATATAGTCATGGGATGTAAAGTACAGCATAGGGAAAACAGTCAATGGTATTGTAATAGCTGTGTATGGAGTCAGAAGGGTAGTAGACTTGTTGGGGTTATTACTTTGTGAGGTGTGTAAATGTCAACTCACTATGTTGTTTTGTACACTTGAAACTAATAATAAAAACTTAAATAAAAGCATTGAGAACAACAACAATAACAACAAAAATGAGAACCATGGACCCGGGGGCAAGTTATTAGGAAGCTGTTCAAAGGAGGTGACTAACTGATCTTTTCTAATCAACAAGTCCTCTTATTGGAACAATAAGCAAGAGTATAAACAGCCAAGTTACCTTTGATTTCAGGGTAGTAGAGAAAAGGCTTTGGTTCACTAGTTTCCAAATCAGATTTCCTCCGAAGTTGGACGAACACAGAGGCTGGTTTTGTAATGTTGATATCTTTATACTTTGGAGTTTTGAAGACGATGGCAAACTGCAGTATACAAAGATCCAAATGTTGGGGTAGGACTACATTTTTTTCCCCAGCAATGCTACTCATTAAAAACACTCTTTATGCCCAAAGTTTAGACACAGTGTACAAAAAGCACAGCACCCTAGAGAGAGTTACAAACTCAGATTTCTATACCCATACATTTTTATTAAATCAACACTATGAAACTGAAGCAAGATTATGCGAATATATTGCAAATCTTTATTATTTCATTTGTCTAATATTTTAAATGTCTTCCAGTTGTAAACAACCATGTGAATAAAATACATTGCATACACCTTCTCCTCTTTCTAATCAGCCTTAAAAGCCTCTAAGATGATTATTTACACCAACATTAGAAAGACTGGACGTGGAAAGAGAGATGAGGGAGGTGGTACTACTATCAGCCTGCAGGCCAAACAATGAGGAAAGGAAACTAAATCCTGCAAGTGAGGCATCATCACAGGGTCAGTGTATTTTAAGGTGAGAAAGGTGCAGGCTCTTGGCATAATGCAGGGTATTTCGTAACACCTCTAAGATAGCTTTCTTATTTGTTTCTGGTAGTGCTGGAATAGTTAGGCATTTTTAAATTTTTTAGTTTGATTTTTTGATGACATTATATATTCATAGGGATCAAGATTTTATAAAATACAAAAAGTATATAATGGCATACACAGAAATTCCTCCTTGCCACTCCTGTCTCCAACCCCGGCAACTCCTACCCTGTAGCAGACCATCCCCCAGAGGTAAACACAGAGAAGTTATTGATTTCTTTTGTATTCTTTCAGAGTTTCTTTATGCATATGCAAACATGAACAGTGAATCTTTTAAATATACACTTTATTTTATATCCATCCTTAAAAAATATTTAATGTTGTATGTTTGATATCTTTACATATTGGTTCATAGAGTACTCATTCTTTTTAATAAATGCATAATATTCCATCACAAAGACACAACATAATTTATTTAACTGGCCACTTATTGATGAATATTTGCATTGTTTCCAATTTTTTTTGTGAAAATAGTATTCCTCAGTCACTCAGAGTAGTCATTAAGATGAGAATTTAGCATTTTCATCTCTTAGTCATATACTCAGTTGTCACTGGGAAATCTTGATTTCTCATGATAACATCGGCCTCAACTAGAAGAGTCCTCCTTTTAACATTTTTCATTAGAATACCCTTTTCACAGGCTTCCCCACAATAACTCCAGTAGAACACTGTTATGGACTGATTGTGTCCCACCCACCGCCACATTTGTATGTTGAAGCCCTAACTCCTAGTATAGCTGTCTTTGGAGATAAGACCTTTCCAGATATAATTAAGGTTAAAGGCGGTCAGAGGGCAGAGCCCTGATTGGACAAAATTAGTGTCCTATAAGAGGAGACACCAGGGAGCTCATTGTCTCCACCATGAGAAGACACAGTGAGAAGGCAGCTGTCTGGAAGCCAGGAAGAGACCGCTCACCAGGAACCTACGCTGTCAGAACTTGATCTTGAACTTCTAGCCTCCAGAACTGTAAGAAAATAAATCTTTGTGGTTTAATCCACCCAGTCTATGATGTTTTGTTATGGCAGCCTGAATATACTAAATACAAACACTTAAAACATTTCCACTAAAGGACCCGAGGGCACTGCCTAATGGCAAGGTGATCAGATACTCAAATGTAACATCTTAGAGCCAAAAGGTTTTATAGAGCCTTGCCCATAATTCTATAGTAGGTAACTTTTCTGAAAGACCTGCAAAAGTCTAAAGAATAGTACTAATTTATGAAAGTTAAATAAATATTTATGATTTTTCCTTTCTCATATTTGAAAACTACTGAATTTCAACAAGGCAGGAAATGTAAAATCATCATCATCATCCACTTACTTGTCTATGAACATCTGTGGGGGAAAAGTCTCCAAATCCTTCCCAGATTCCACCATTTTCCTCCTCTTCATAAAATCGAATCTGGATGTCATCTGCAAACAGTCGCATTCAGGTGTATAATTTCACATAGTGTAATAATATTTATAAACATGCTGAAAAATAAAGTTGGTTCCACATTCTACCAACTTTTTTGAAAGTAATTACTATGCCATAAACTTTTGAATAATTAAAAACTTTCACAAATCACTGAATATTTCTTACTAGTTACGGCAGTAATGGGTCCCAAGTTTCATTTACAATAACAGAATACTCTATTTACCTATTCGATCAGAGATTTCTCTTAATTAGTCTTTGACTGTCCCACTTCTCCATCCCTAAACCAATTCACCCCTGAGAAACATGAAGAATAGTGAGGAATATCAGAAAAGGTGGTTCAGCTCGAAACAGATTTACATAATATTTAACTTACATGAAGTTTACTATATGGTAGACACAGTTCTAAGTGATTTATATGTATATATAAACTGATTCAAGCCTCACAATAACTTTGTGATGCGGGCGTACTATTAATAGCCTCGTTTTTCAGAAGAGAAGCTGGAGTCCAGAGAGTTAAGTAACTTATCCAAGGTTGAACAGTAGTAAATGGAGAAGCTACGATTGGAACCCAGATTGGAACCCAGATAGTATAGTTTCCGGCTTAAACATTCTACTATGCTTCCTCCCTATAATACTTTATTTATCCTTAGTGAGAAACTGTTAAAAACATTATGTTGGTCAAGTCCCTGTGGATTAACTTAGAATGCCTAAATTCCACACTTCAGTCATAGATTCTACTTCTGTAGAAATATGACAATATAACTCAGGTTGGCATCTCCCTGGCTGTACTTCCCATCTCATAGGAAGGACTGCACTATTCCTTTGCCTTCAGGTAGGACTACCGTGGACTTGTTTATTCAGATTGTTTAAATCTGGTACAAGGCTTCTCTTAACAAGCCATTCCAATATGATAGCAATGCTTAAGAATCACACCTGCAAATAAAGGTAACTCAGGTTGTATCTACTCATAGTATGCCCACCCAGGAATCTGGAAATGCATACGACTTGGATAGAATGAGTTAAAAGAACGCTGATAACAGGACTAGAAGAGAAAGCATAAACTCTTTTTGGATAAAGATATATATCTTTACTTTCAAATCTGGTATCTGATCCCATTTTCTTCTGACTTTTTACCTCAGAGCGTATATCCTCAAATGAGAATTTTCTTTTTTATTTAAGCCATAATTCTTTTATTTAGGTGCTATATTTCCAGGTATGCATCTGCTTACTTTGAAAATGCTCATCACTTTTACAGTGAATAGATCTTTATTATACTATATTTTCTATCATTTTATTTTAAAAATAAGTGACATTTGAGAAAACAACATAACCTCCTTCAGCTTTTGTTAACATATCAATCTTGTACTATATCTAATGAGAGATAAATGCCAAGAACCTTTTCTGAAAGTAAAAATTATGAGAGGAATATGCTGTGGTAGTTTCCCTATAATCCTCATTCTCTTTTTCTTAGCTGACATCACAGTGTCATGTGAAAGTATTTGGAGAAGCTCTCTCTGTGTTGCAACAAAGCACTGTAAGATAAATACAATAAACAATTTTATACTATGTAAAACATCAGATGAACAAGTGGGTCCTAGAGTAAATTAAGCCCGAAACATCACTGGAGGCAAAAATGACAAAACTGAGGCTGTCCCACTTCGGGCACATCATGAAAAGGCAGGGCACTTCGGAAAAGACAATAATGCTGGGAGAAATGGAAGGCAGCAGGAAAAGAGGAAGACCTAATATGAGGTGGATTGACTCCATAAAAGAAGCCATAGGCAGAAGCCAGACGCTTCCTGCGTCTCCAGGAGCTGAGCAGGGCTGCTGAGGACAGGACATGGTGGACATCACTCATTCATAGGGTCGCCAGGGGTCAGAGCTAACTTAGTGGCACATAGCACACATAAAACATTATTTATTCTCTCTCTCTCTCTCTCTCTCTCTCTCGCTCTCTCTCTCTGAAGCATGGACTATTACTCATTTATTTTAATTTAACTAAATTCAGATACCAATGTTTAAAGTATAAAAACATTGAAATGTCACTGATTACTATTGTGATTACTACTATTTTTAAATTTCCCTTTACTTCTGTTGAAAATTTTAAATGAATTAGTTGGGTTAAAAAAATAACAGGCAACTTCAATTTGGAAGAGGCAAAATGTGCACATTTTAAAAGGCGTTCTATGGCAGAAAAGGGATATTAACTGGGTCCACTGCTAAGTGACTCACAGATACACTCAGAATATTTCACATCTTGAGATCAGAGCATATATTTACCTTTCTGAACCTTGTCACAGAGAAGATAAATTTCTTCCCCCCCAGTCACGCATCCAGCTGTCCTGTCCATTCTCACAATTTTCAAGTTGGATGCGTTGGGGGCTTCTGTCCACAGGAGAAAAACAACAGACATCATGGTTTATCCTCAGCTTCACAAGCCAATCTCATATGAGGGACCCTACCCTTAGCACACATTAACCAGAAGAAAGTTTAAATAAATGCTTTCATGCATATTGTTTTAACAAGGATACAAATAAAACAAAAATGCCTTCGCAAGTCCTCAGAGCACTTCTTGGGCAAGGGTCATTCATTATCAGTAAAATGGATGAGGCAGAAAAGAGCAATCTTTGTTTCTCCCAGTAACACAGGAAGAAATGAATACAGAAAGAGAAAGAGCGCTCCTGATGTTCCGGCAAGTACAAAGCCAATGCATTTGTGGAATTTCAATTGGGTCCAGGCTTTCACCCCAAACTTATTTCCATGATACTCATATACCATTTACAAATGTCCTAGAAATTTAGGAGAAGCACGGTTTTTAAAAACTATTAATTTTTATTCTACAGAAAAGAAAAATGGAGATGTTATATTTATTTTCCCCAAACTAAATTAGAATTCTATGTGGTTAGGGGGAAAAAGTTTTGTGTGGTAATAGTATAAAGCTTCCTTTTTTCTGTCTTTTTTTTCTCCAACAGCTGCATGCTAAGGTGATCTCTGGTATATGAGTCTACATCATTTTATAACTCTTTCACTTCCCTTCAGATTTGTTTAAGTTAGAGAAATCAGTTAGTTGTTGTACTTGGAGCATGGAGTTTTCTACTTAGACCAAACTCTATATACTTTCAATGAGCCTAAGCACTGCACTTGCTGGCTTTTTTGGAAATCTCTGTTTCATACATCCCACAGATAGCAAACAAGAAATTTGCATGGTAAATGCTGAAGACCACTGTGAAACTCTTAAAAAAATTCTAGGAACTATAAACTGAAATAGAATTGTGAAGCCATGTACTAATATATACCGCTCATTCAGTTAACTTGAAGTTCCTATCTTGATAGTTATAACACGTGAAAATGAAGGTGGATAAGAATAACAGTTGTCTTTTATTAACTTCGCTTCAGTGTCCCAATGAAAAAAACGAGATTACTTTTCCCATCTAAGAGCACCAACAATATATCCTCAGAGCAAAGAATTCATAAGTAATAAGAGGTCTGGCACTGTATCTAAAAGACTAAAATACACAGCTGAGGAAGGAGAACTACATTTATTGAGCACCTTACAACATTTCACTTTTAGTTTAGACCACTTTTTATATTGGATTTTAGTGTTCACATTTTGTAGATGATAAACATGAGACTCCAAGTGATGAAGCCACGTACTCCTGGAATCAGAGCGTGTACGTAACTGCCAGGGCAGGCTGCAAGTCTGTTCTTGACATTATATGGAGCTGCCTCTCCCATGAGGAGACAAGTACTTACTGCTGTCGTAGATGGCGTCTGATACCACGGGTTCCAGGCGCCTGGTGAAGCTCCCGGTGCTGTCTGGAAGGAAAGCTGTAAACATGAGCCGTACCACGCTGAGGTCCATCTCCTTTGTCTGCTGAAGAGCTGCTTGGCGGATGATCTCCTTTTCCCGATCTAGGACCATACAGCACAGGGCATTCATGCCCAGGGGAAGAGAAAAGCATGAACAGTTTAGATAGGATGCTTTTACAAAGCCCAAGTAACATGGACGTAAAAAAAAATCTCTTCTGAAATTCTTCATGTTGCTAACAAAATTTTTAAGTTTCTCTTGTTTATGTTATCCACAATTAGAGATATCAAAAACTTGCATTTCCTCTGGATTACAGTAAAAACTGTTCTCCACTTCTGCTTTCTTAGGTCCCCTGGAACTCTCCCTTTCCTTTCTACAATAAGAGTTGAAGGCACAAAGGATGTGATGGAATGAAGGCAGTAAGCCAACTATGCATCAGTTGTATTCAGAAATATGAAAATTCAGTATTCAAAAAGCTGTTTGAGCACAGAGACTGTGTTTGTTTCATAGTGCCTAGCACCAGGCCTGGCACATAGTAGGTACTCAAAAAGTATTTTTGAAGGAACTGAATGACTCCGTTGTTGCATTTGTCTCCTTCCTTCCCTCCTGATGGCTCTTTGATGCTGATGGACATAATATTGGATATAATCATGATGGATATAATCGTAATTAAAACCTTGTATCTTAAAAGGTGATAATTCAAGTGGTAAGTACTGTCAAAGAGCTACAGATGAAGAGATATGGAATTTCAAAGGAGGGGAGGCTCCAGGGGCTTTGGAGCAGAAGAGACATTTGCTTTACAACTTGAAGGGACAGCAGAACTTCAACTTATGAAGAGGGTGAATAAGGGCATTCCAGAAGGAAGTAGAGGAAGATCGTGCCAACGCAAGGAAGCAAGAAATCATGGTACTTCTACGGAGCAGTTCAGTTTGACATGAAGGGGTGTGGTGGGAAACAGAATTGGAAATGCAGACTGGGGCCAGCTCTTGGAAGGTCTACAACGCCATCTTCCAGAATCTGGATTTTGCAGGTAAAGGGCAGACACTAAGTAGTGGTGAGATGTAGGCCTCAGTAAGATCCATTGGGACATAGGGTGTAAACTGGATTAGGAGTGACAGCATAACGAAATGGAGTGAGGAGTGGAGCAGCAGAGAGAGCACAGCACTGCTGGACCACTAATGGGAGATGTAGCACAGGGAGAAGGTGGAGTCAAAGATGATTAGGTTTACAGTCTGGATACCTCTTTAGAAGATGGAATATGTTTAGTGGGAAAATGACGACTGCTTTTGGATTACATGAATATGAGCTGGTGACAGGGTGGCGAGACTAAAGGAGAACATATAAAAACAGAAATGGTGCATGTGGTGGGACATGGTTGAAAGAAAAAAAACCCAAACCAGTAAAGGCAGGAAAACAAAATCAAAGCATTTTTTGATGAAGAGAATAGTTTATAATGTGCCTGAAGAGTTGAAAGGAAGAAAGATTCCTTATAAGTGAGCTGGGGGAGGTATAACAGAGGAGGTGTTTTTGAATTAAGTCTTGAATTATGAATTGGTTTTGACAGGTTGAAAAGGGAAGGGTGGGGTGTTGTAGGTAGAGAAATACACATACAAATGTTAAAGATGGAGGTGTCCAAGGGGCAGTGATGGGGAGAAGTGGGTACAGGGTGGGACTGGGGATGAGGCTAGAAAGGTGACTGGCACCAGACTGAGGGTTTTGCACGCCAGGCTACGGAGATAGAGATTTTCTTCTAGAGGTAGCAGGATGCTATCCAAGATTCTCGAGCAGAGAAAGGGTGGGAGTAGCTCGGGGTACAGACTTGGAGAAAGAGAAATCTGGGGCATACAGATGAGTCCATAGTCTACAAATGAGAAAATCAGAGCCTGAGCTCCCAAAGGAGCCAGGCTGGGAGTGATGCTCACCTGTGAGCTGCCGATCTCCTCCACCCTCTGCTTGTAAATAGGCAAGGTCGGGATGTACCAGAAGTCCGGGATTATAGCCCCTTATACACGCCTCTGTCATTCGTGCTTCCAGTGTTTCAAATACTTTTTTCTTTGTCACATGAAGTATACCCAGATTTGCAAAGCTAGATAAAACATAAACAGCAGCAGCAACAACAACCAAAAGTTAGGCAGTCAGTGACTAGAGAGTATGGTTTCACTTGAGCAAAGTGGAGTTAAAAAAAGTCCTCAGTTGCTATAATCAAATCATAATCAAACACATCGCTATTTCTGCAGTGAGGCATATAAAGTAGACTCACCAAATGGAAACATAAAGACTATAACCAGTTACACAGCAGGGCAGATGGGGTGGTTTTGCCACCAAATGAGTCTGTGGTAAACTTAGCAAAATCTTTTGGTTTTCAGAGCTTATTAGACTTTCAAATTATGATTAGGGGAGTAGGGTACACATGTATATATAACAATAGGAAGTTCTACCTAAACTCATTTTAAAGTGTTTTCTAGGACAGTTGTATAAAAATCTTGTAATTCCAAACATAGTACTAACTTTTATAACTTTTTTTGAGAATCATAGGACTATTCTATTTTGAAAAAATTTTTTTTCTTTTGGATATCTTTGGGTTTCTGGGTGAGATTTAAGGTCTATGTCCTGTTTGAGGGTTCCCTTTTCTGGAATTCTGTCTCTTCCTAGGTTATCTATAAGATTGGAATGACTTATTACTACTAGAATGTCATTTAATTCTACAGGGACTCAGGCCTGAAGGTATACCTGTCATCAAGGATGGAGAACCCTTTATCTCATGAAGGCTATAGAACAAAATATGTTAATAAGCTAAATAAAGCAACTTAAGGGATTTTAAAGAAAATAAAAAAAAAATTCTCCAGCCATTTAATTTAAATAAAGTACATGAAACAAAGAAGTATATTTACTAAATGTAATACAACAAACAAAGAAAGCAGCACTTTACTAAGGAGGCTCATTCATTCAACAAATATTTATTTAGCTCCTTATTAGTGCCAGGCTGAGTCCTAGCCTAGGACTCTTGTCAGCAGCAAAAGAATCCCTAATTTCATAGAATTTTCATGCTAGTGCAACAGAGAAGAAACAAAGCAAATTTGACAGTATAATTTAGAAGATAATAAGTGTTACCAAGAAAACTAAGGTAGGAATGGGGAATAGGAGAGGTAGAAGAAGGCATGGCACTTTAAAATAGAGAGAGGCCAGATAGGGCCTCACTGAGAAGATGACAACTGAGCAAACACTTGAAGAAAGCGAGGGGAAAGATGTGGATATGTGGAAGAAAAGCATTCAAGGAAGAGGAACAGCAAGTGTGAAGACCCTGAGGAAGGGTGTTTTCTAAAGACAACAACGGCAGGAAGGCCAAGGTGGCTGGGGGGAAAGGAAGGAGCGGTCAGCAGTAAGCGAGGAGTTCAAAGAGGTGAGTGTGGGCACAGATCTTTTAAAGCCCTGTGGGCTCTGGTAAGGACTTTTCATTCACTCTAGCTTTTACCTAGAAAGAAAAAAAAAAGATTAGTAGAGGAAAAATAGAAATATAATGAGAACTAGATTGAATAAAACAAAGAATAAGATCATGTGGGAAAACCAGATAAACTAGGGAAAGAAAATATAAGAGGTGAAGGCAGAATGAGAGCCCTCATACAGAGGCCTACAGACAGAAAGAGATATATTTCCAGACAGTAACTGAAAAAGGTGGGACAGCTGAGACACACACACAGAAGAAAATACACTAAGAGAATTTAAGCTCATGAGGGCAGAGATCTCCAGTGCATGGAACAGCACTTGACACACAGGTGTCTAATAAATGTCTGTTGAATCAATGAACGCATAAATTAACACAGCACAGAAAATATGCAACATGACATACTGATATGGATGGAGGCATAGGCAATTTTTCAGAAACCAGACCTCCATCTTTTGGTTTTTTTAGGCCTTATTCCTATATAGAACATCCACAACTATAGAAAAATGAGGTAAGCTCCTCAGTAATGGCAAAGACAAACATCTGTGTAGCACTTTACACTTTACCATCTATAAAGTACTTTTCATGTATAGTATTTAATCCCTGTAAAAAAAATTACAACATTCTTATTATTCATTATGTGAATAATAAATTTACTCTGGTAATGAATGAAACTATGTAGAAGTCAGTCTTCTGCTTCAGGTAATAATGGAGTTAAGAGACCAGTGGAACCTTAAACAACAAAAAACACATGAAAAGAAATGTTTTCAGACACTGGACAACAAGCAACACAGGACAGTGATCCTTAAGAAAAGGGAAACAAGGTGAATCCTACAATTATGCTGGCTTAATGCCTAGAGTTTCCAGGCTGCAGCACAGGAAGGGAGACCCCCTAACAGGACTTGGTGATCTCCCTGAGTTGAGGAGACAGAGTTAAAATGTTGAGGAGGCTAAGGAAGCTAGAACTTATAGGCAGAGCACCAGAGAAGAAAGAACCACATGCAGAGAGACACTCAGAGGTGTATAGGGGCTCCACCTTGAGTGTTCAGCTGAGTACTATCAGAACAGGTACGTGAAGAAATGACACAGCGCTGGGAAAAGAACCACCAGAAATGAACAGGCAAAACAATCACTGGAGGACACACAGGTATGGAACAGTTTAAGAAATCTTGTAATACATGGATCATCAGGGTAAATGCCTTACTAAGGGTATCAAATTAACCCTAGACTAAAGGCTGTTCTAGTCTCCCTAACAAAACTTAAAAGTAAGCCTAGGAAGGATAAACTCTTCCCAAATTTAACTTCATCCCAATACTCAAAAATATTTAAAGGCATACAAAAAAATCTAGCATGCAACAATCCAAAATTCAAAATGCCTGTCATTCAATCAAAAATTGCCAGGGATGCAAAGACGTAGGAAAAGACGACTCATATGAGGACAGAAATGAATCAATAGAAATATATATAGAAATGAGACAGAGCACAGAATTTGTAGGCAAGTACACTGAAATAGCTATTATAGTTATGGTGCATATGGTCAGAAAGGTAGAAGGCATTAGTATGTTAAGGAAGATATAAAAAAGACCCCAAACAAACCTGTCAAGAGCAAAGCTACAATGTCAGAGAAGAAAAGTACACTAGATGGGATTAAGAACATATTAGAAATGACAGACAAGATTAGTGAACTTGAGGACTCGGTAATAGAACTATCCAAAATGAAGCAGAAAAAAAGATGAAAAAAATTTTAAAAGACTAGATCATCAGTGAGCTGTGGGACAATTTCAAATGTCCAAATATACATGTGATTGGTGTTCCAAAAGAAGAAGAAAAAGAGGAATGGATGGGAAAAGTATTTTAAAAAATAATGGTTGACAAGCTTTAAAATTTAACCAGAGATCCAAGAACTTCACTGAACCCTAAAGCACAAGAACCATGAAGAAAACTACACCTAAAGCCCATTATAATCAAATTGTTTAAGGCTAGTAAAGAGAAAATCTGAAAAGCTGATGGCGAAAAAGAGACATTATGTGAAGAGGAACAAAAATAAGAATGACGGGAGATTTCTTGTTGGAAACAAGGCAAGCCAGAAGACCCTAAGCAGCATATTTTAAGGACATGAAAGAAAAACATTGTCAACCTAGAATTCTATACTCTTCAAAAATATCTTTGAAAAACAAAACAAAGAATTTGAAGACGTACTACAACTAAAAGAATTTATCAGCAGCAGACCAGTAGTACAAGAAAAATTAAAGTAAGGGCTTTAGGCAAAAGAAAATGAAATCAGACAGAAGTCTTGACCATGCAACAGAATGAAGAGCACTGCAAATGGTAAATGTGTGGATAAATATAAATATATTTTTTCCTTATTTAATATTTCTTTAAAAGATAACTGACTGTTTAAAGCAAAGATTAAAAAACAATATACTGTGTCATATTTTACATCAACATGTGTTATATTATTGGGTTGTCGGAAAAGTCATGACATATTTTTTCTCTGTTTTTCGTTGCAAAAATGTGTCATGAGTTTTCCAATAGCCCAATACCTATGTATATTTACATTTGTATGTATTTATACATATATTTACTTAAACACATATATTTACATATGTCAATGAAAAATATATGACACAATAGCACAAACGTCAAGAGAGGAGAAATGAAATCACACTGCTCAAAAGAACAGGATAGGGAATATAGTCAATAACATTGTAATAATTATGTATGGTGTCAGATGGGTACTAGGCTTATGGGGTGATCACTTTGCAAGTTATATAAATGTCTAATCACTATGCTGTACACCTGAAATTAATATAATTTTGTATGTCAACTAATTTAAAAGTAAAAAAAATATTAAAAAATAAATTTTAAAAAGGATGGAAATTGATTTTGACAAAAAAGGAAGTATACTATTCATATACTATACATAAAGAGGTATAATGCTACTTAAAGGTAGACTATGATAAGTTTAAGATGTATAGTATAAACTATAAAACAAGTGCTAAAAAGTACAAAGAGGTATAAACTAAAAAAGGAGATAAAATGAAGTTATAACAAATAATCAATTAATCTATAATAAGACAGACAAAGAGAAAAAGGGAAACAGAACAGATGTGACTAGCAGAAAACAAGTAGCAAGATGATAGATTTAAACACAGCCATATCAGTAATCAGATTAAATAAAATTACTTAAGCATGCCCATTAACAAGCATAGAGTGTCAGATGGAATACAAAAGTAAGACCTAACTATATGCAGTGAATATTTACTTTGAACATAAGGTCAGAAATAGGTTAAAACTAAAAGGATGGAAAAAAATATTCCAAGTTAATATTAATCAAAAGAAAGATGAAAACGTTGTATTAGTATCAGTCAAAGTAGATTTTAGAGCAGAGAGTATTACCAGGGATAAAAAAGGGTCATTTCATAATGAAAAAAGAATCAATTAAGAGGCCGTAAGAATCCTAAATGTTTATGTATCTAATAGAAGAGCTTCACAATATAAGCAGCAAAATCTTAAAGAACCGAAAGGAGAACTATAATACATATATCTATAAATATATTCAGAGATTTCAACATCCCCCTCTCAATAATTGATAGAACAAGTAAAGAGAAAATTAGGAAGAATATAGAAGACTTTAACAACACTAGTAAACAACCTGACCTCATTAACATTTATAGAACATTCATTCAACTTGATCAGGCTATCATTCTTAAGTGCACAGAGACATTTACCAAGGCAGACCATATTCTTATCTATAAAACCAGTCTCAATAAACTTAAAAGTATTCAAATCATACCGAATGTTCTCTTACCAGAATGGCACTAAATCATATATCAATAACTGAAAAATATCTAGATAGGAATATATGAAAATCAATATTGCCCATGTATTAATTAATAGCATAGGGAATAGAGTCAATGGTATTATAACATCTGTATACGATGTCAGAGGGGTAGTAGATTGGGGGAAGGGGGCTATCACTTAGTGAGGGGTGTAAATATCTAACTGTTATGTTGCTTTGTACACCTGAAATGAATTTTTAAAAAAGAAAATACCACACACACACACAAATGATAATTGTTGAAGCTGGGTGACAGGTACACTGGGATACAAAGAATAACTTAGTGGTATTCTTTCTAATTCTGTACCTGTTTGAAAATTTGTAAAATAAAATGTAAAAGAAAATAAGAGCAGACATTATTATACAACAATTCTATACCTTGACTGTGGTGCTTATACAAGAATTTGTCAAAATTCATAGAACTGTACACTTTAAAGGGCAAATATTACATATTTGAATTATACTTCAATAAAACCTGACCCCCCCAAAAAAACCCCCAAAAAAACCCAACAACAAAGGTCATCACACACCTAATAATAGGACTGGGACTATAATCCTGTTTCTTCTTATTATTATTATTTTATGTATACATAATTATATTTGACATACAATATTATTCAACATCAGTTCAGAAATACAGTGTGGTGGTCAGGCCTCTACACCGACTATGAAATGGTCTCCCTCACAAGACATGAGTCCATCTGTCCCCTTAAAAATATTTACAACTTCACTGATTATATTCCCCAGACTGTCTTTTCTATCCCTGAGGCCATACTGTAGTTACCAATTTGTACTGTCTCGTCCCTTCCCCTTCTCTTCTTACTCAAAATGTCCTCTGGGTAGGTTCGAATCTCCATTCATTGGGTTGGGATTCTACTGTGGCCCCTCTATTTGGCATTCCTTCCTCTCAGGACGCAAACACTGACTTCACAGCTGGCATGAGATTTACAAGCAGCCCCTAACTCACACCCTCATTTGGAAGTTGGATACTTCCAACCTCAGGCCATATTTGTCTATTTTTTTCTAAATAGCTCCTTGTATATTAAGGTTGAACCATATGAAATCGCCAATAAATTAATTGTTTCTGGATCCTCAAAAACAGCAATTTAGTATGATCTGCACTAGCTCATCGATGAAGGCCATATTCTCTTTTGTGGTTTTGTAATTAAATATCTACTTTCAGTGCTTACCAATTGGTATATGCTGTGAACATTAGTTAGAAAAAATAGACTTCCCATCTCTCTAAATCAGGGCTGCCAGGAAGCAAACAGAGGGTGTGGTGATTATTGGTGAGGAAGGTGGCTTAAGGCAGAGTCAAGTAACAGTTTCCATTGTGTGAAAATAGAACTAAAACGCTGTTGAAACAAATTGTTGATATTCAGGGTTACCCATATAATACCAAACTAAGACTATTTTTATGAGGACCGGCACTAATGGCTAACTAAATAAATGACTAAGAAATAAAAAGACAAAATTAAAGCTAACCAAAACAAAATTAAAAGGGAAAATCCCCCAAGTTAAAGCAATCAAACCTGTAATCATGACTTAGTTATCTAAAACATGACTATTTTAATATAGATGAAATATATTTAAAAATAGAAACTAAATTTCAATGAGAACCCCAAAGAAATGTAATTCTTTTGGTTTTAATAATTTAAAGGTTATTTATCTACTCAGTGTCATTTTTAAAATATATATGTGTGTGTGTATATATATTTTATATATATATATATATATATATATATATATATATATATATATATAACTTTTTTGATGTGTTGGATGGGTGCCCTGCTTGTAAAGCTATACTGTACTCATAGCCTAAGCTGTATTATTGAAAACAGGTTATCTTGGTTCCATTTCTAGTATTGACAAGTCTAAGGAATAACGCTGGCTATCTTCCTAAATTTCTGTGTTATTCTTACCTACAAGTTAGAACTAAATAATAATAATCGATGACATATCATAAATACATATGTGGCAAGTCTGCTCATGTTATTTTATAATATTAGCTAATGTTAGTTCTGTCTAAAATTATGGAGATAAAAAGGGCCTGGAGATAAATTCTGTAGCTCAACACTCATATTTTATAAGGGAAGAAATTAAAGTCCCCAAGAAGTCATGCAAATTGTCCCCAGTCCTACTATTGAGAGTGACAGAACCAGAAATAGAATTCTGGTTTTCAGACTACTAGCATGATGTTCTTTTTACTAAAATCCAACAGGTTCTGACATTGAAACTTAAAAAAAAAAAAATGTGAGATAGATAAATTAATCAGGAAGGATATACTGTGTTTTAGGAAACACAGTAAGCAGAAGTTTCTCAGTTAAAAATCAAATTACAAAGGGAATACCAATGTCTCATAGAACACTATGAATACAAAAGTCTCCTGAGTCTACAGTAACTCTCTAGTGGCATCTTCTTGATGAAATTTCTTTGTGAAATTGTATAGGGTTAGGAAATCCCATAGTGCTATGAGCACACATCTTGATGATCAAATTTAGGAGCTTAGATACTCAAAATGTTTGTTGAATGAATGAATGAATAAATGAATTTCTCCCAACTACTGAATGCCACACTCCAGCACTGCAAGAGAATAAAGGATTTCCTCGCTTTCCTTGGAAACAGGGAATTTACTTTAACTCCTGCTGTAGGTCTCAAATTAAATAACTATTAGTTCCTTCTAAAATCCTGAAAGATTACTAAGCCAAACCACAGAAACCCCAAATTATAGACAACATACTGGAAGTTTTATAATAACAAATATTATTAGTAAGAAACTTCATCTATAATTTCCTCTAAAGGATATGATTATCACACAGGTTAAACAGGACCAAACAGAATAAACACTTCAAACTGACAGCAGGCTACTGGAGAAAATGTGCAGAAACGCTAAGTGATCAATTAGTCTGAAACTGACAATTACCCTGCATTTCAAAGCTCTCACAGGTCAGTCAGGAATTGTAAAAGTATTCCAAAAACAGACGATGAACCAACTGTGACATACAACAGGAAACAGGCCAGTCTTTCAAGAGGATGTTGAAACAAGTTTATATAAAGCACAGTTCAATTTTTCAAATGAATTTAAGCTTCTTCCTTCAATCTAGTCTTTTTTTTTTCTAACATCAAAAGAATCAGATTTTAGTGACTTAAAAGAAAGCTCTCTCTCTAGGTTTTTCACACTTGAATATTTTCACAGTCAAACAAAGAAATGCCTAGGAACATGAAAGCTCCACCTCCCCTATAACAACCAACTTGAAACTTGATCAGAATTCAAAGCCTGAAATGCTACCATCAGCTTCATTACCATTGATTTCAACAATTCCTTCCTTTTGCATGAATAGTCCAGATTAACTGGGATTTTATCATAAACTATTTAAACCAGTGTTAGGAAACCCTGAAAGATGTTGTTAAAAAATTAAACCTAAATTAAAAATTAAAAATCAATTAATGGAAAATTTCTTCTTTTGGACTGAATTTATTTTTATAATACTTCATTCACTTAAAATTGATTTTTGATCTGTCTGACCAACCCTCACATGAATATGTCACTTTGTAGTTACATTCCAAGTCTAATGAATACCATAACAAATTTGCATTCCTTGGCTTCTCATCTGTGCGCACTTTCTAAGCAGCACAGAACTGAAACATTTATCCACTTCATGCTCAACATGTTCAAACTATAAATCCACAATCAATACTTCACTAATGGAATCATCAGGAGTATAAAACCATTCACAAATTATTGATTTCTGCTATAGTTAGGCTTCTTCTAATTTGTCCTTGTCTTTATTTCCAGAAGAAAAATATTGCTAAAAGTGGCACAAATGCATCATAGGTCAAGTGACCATATAATTTATCATTCAAACTGGGCCCCTTTTGAGCATGAAAGGGGGTGCTGTAAGTAATGAGGCCAGGGCCACAGGTGCAAACTGGGCTGTCTCAGGGAAATCCTTATACCTCAGTGTCCAAGAGAGGGCGCACATTTTCATGTCTAGGCCTTCTCTTGGTCTTGGAAAGGCCCCAAACGAAAAGGGCCTTTTTGGCCCAAGTCCCTGGGTGCCATGTTCTGTCTGCTCCCAGCTTCCACAGCGACATGGACCCACACTTACCCGACCACCATGTCCTTGGGTCCAGCAGTTACAGTGCAGATCCCATCCTCACAGTGTTTCCCCACCAGGCTGTGTGCATGCAGGTGGATGTTTTTTCCGTTTGTGACCAACTGAACAATAACCTTTGCAGGTCCCACATAGTTGCAGATCTATGTAAGAAGCACATTTTAAAAGTTAGTACATCTGACTATATTGCAATGTGGAAAAACGCTTAGGACAAGCCAGTAAGTATAAAAAGTATGATACAGAGTTAGGTATACCTGTACATATACGACCACAGCTCTGTTTTTAAAAGTGTGAGATGAACAAATGATGGGATAGAAATAAATGAAAATGCTAATGGTAGTTGTTTTGTGTGTGGAAGCAGATGATTTATAATATAGCCTGTATTGTTCAAGCTGGAGGATGCTGTGTAGCCACGAAGCATCCCCTGCCTAACTAACCGAGAACACATTTTCATCTGTACCCTCATCACAATTTCTGGTTATAAAAGCTGGATAAACAATCTGTCAGAAGAGAACTGGGATTGATGGATGATAGAAGTCAAGGGAAGGGGGGAGGTGAGTAGAAACAGTGCATCCTACGTCTTTGCCATGAGATTTGGCAGGAGGGCGTCTTGCCAGGGACCTGACTCTGAAGGTTGGCAACGGCCACCCATAAAGCCCACAGACTGGGCCTGCAGAGATCTGTCAGGATACGTCAGCCTTTGGCAGCACTCGCTGCTAAGAGCTCTGATAACTGAGTGACATATGCCCAGGCCATAGTAAATTCCTTCAGTTAAAATGTGTGCACTTCCTAAGTGCCAATCCTTAGACATAACACCTGTTTAGCTCTTATTTTAAAAAGAACAGATTTTTCTATTTAAGGTCATTTATCCTTTTTATTATTATACCTTTAAAAATGATAACAACAGCAATTAAAAGAAAATAGCATGGGGATAATGACATTTTAAGCAAAGAAAGGTTGGAAACCTTTTCTCCTCTCGTTGGTCCTTAGACCCCTATAGAAGACCACAGATACCTTCTTTGAGAAAGCCCCAGCACTAAAATCATATGAACGGAAAAGACAAATGGCTTTATTTAACTCCCTGAATCATGTAAGTCAGAATCTTGACATAAATTCAGCCAAACTGCTGGAAACGCACTATATCCCCTCCAAGGGTGACCAGCCATCGTGGTTTGCCTAGGACTGAGAGGGTTTCCTGGTTCCTGGACTTTTAGGGCTAAGAGCTGGTCATCCTGTCTCCCAAGCTCATAATATTGTGTGTTTCTGAGGAAGTGCATGCCCCACGTAGAGGGTCTCCCTGCTAGACAATCATTAGGAATACCTGGATCTGCACAAGCAGCCTTTAGCTCAGAGGGAAAGAAAATAGACAGGAATTCCATCTAGCAATGGATCCTTGATGGGAGCCTTTCTGATATAAATCTGAGGAAGAACCTACACTTTCCAGTAAAATTTCTTGGAAACAGACAGAATCCTTTTCAACCAGTCTACTTCTACTATAAATACCATCAATGGTTTCATAGTCATCCCAGTGATGCAGGGGTTTTGCTAGAATTTTTTCAGCATGGATGTTTTCCCCAATCCAATCTCTCATTGCAAGAGTTCAGGAGAAGGTGATAAGAGCTGGGATTATTTCCAAGAGGGTGTTGGGAAAGAGAGCGAAGGACAGATTCCCCTCTAACCAACAGGGTGGCTCCACTGGAAGTGGCAGGGCTTCTCGGCCTGAGCCTTGGCTCAGAGCTGCTGCTAAAGCCTGCTGCTGAATGCTCTAACAGCCCCTCCCAAGGAACAGGGCCACCTGTGGGTGTGGCGTCCTGTCCTCCCAGAGCAAACTAATCACAAAGAACAGTTAGGGTTAAATTAGGTTTTGACCACCTCAAAGCACAAATAAATAATTTCTTAGACAGGCATGGCACTTGAAACAGCCCTCTGGGCACAGAACTAATTATGAAGTGAGTGCTTTCATTTTTATAACAGGCAGAAAGTCTTTGCCCTTCAGGACAGGACAGGGAATGGAAAGTTTTGGGTTTGCTCCAAACTTGGCTGTTGTCCCTACATACTCCCTGGATCGCTAAGGCCAGTTGTGTGCCGTTGGTGTTGACATCTGAAGTCAGGCTTTGTTATGATGACATACTCCATAGGGACTTCTTCAGTGAGTGAACAGTGAAAGAGCACTAAATCACGTTAATTCCACTGTGAAGTGCACAGAGCACAGAAATGCGACAGCGGAAGGCATAACGAAATGCTTCACTTGGGTGAAGTGCTGTCCACTTCAGCAGGACACCAGAAGGAGTCCAGCGATCACAGCCCAGTCACTTTGGATATTTGGGCCCTTCAGTGTCACTGCTATGAAGGAATCAGTCACTGGCACTGAAGACAAGAGGTAGGAGGTGTCCTCAAAAAGTACATCTTTTTCTTGCTATTACTTCATGATTGAAAGGTGGCAAGAATGAGGAACTGGGTAGTCTGTGAGGTAAAGGACCTGAAAAACTTGCCAGTGACTAATGTGCTGTTTGAGCCATTTGGAAGAGTTCAAGTCAGCATGGCATCATCTGGTTTTTACACAGACCACAGGGCAAGGACAGGGAGGCCCCTGGGTTTTGTGTACTTTCCAAAATACTGACTGAAAGAAGAAAGCTGAAGTGTGGGGACAGAGAAAAAAAAAAAAAGATACTATTTTCAGGTTATATGACAAATGAGGACAATGGAATTCTAACTTTATAAAATGCCACGATGACTGAAAGCTATTTGAAGTTGGTTCAAAAATTCATTTGTTCCATGGAGAATTTGATGATTTTTATTCAGCCTCCCTTTTACTTTCTTGAATAGTGGTTCCCTTGAAAATTAAGTTTATAGAAAGCAACCATATCTACCAGAAAGGGTGGGTTATTTTTTAAAGCATCTGGACATAGCAGGCTCTTAATTAAGCAGTAATGGCTTAAACACAGATTAAGCTTTCAGTTAGAGCCCAGGAGACAAAGGTGACAATTTGAGTCATCAGCTACCAAGGGACACTTGCAGAGCATGTACTGCAGGGGCAGACTAGCTAGGTTTGAAGACAGTTCCATCATTTCCTTGGGCAGTGTTCAGTTCCTCATCTGTAAAATGGGCATAATAATAGGACCTCACAGGTTTGCTGTGAAAAATATGTTAATGCATGTACAGTCTTTAAAACACCGTCCAATAAATAACAGTATTACACAAGTGTTAATTATTTATTACCTTATTTATTACTATAATGTGCTCCTATACCTGGGGATCTTTAAATAATACAACTGCCCTGAGACAATTTTTTTAAAAATCTTGTCTAAAGGCAGGGGGTTAGATTAAATGACTAACTAAGGCCATTTTTAGTCCTAGGGTAAGTCTTTTTTTCCAGAGTGCCATATTTTATGAAGGTTTGTTAATTGTCTAGTAATAATTATGTTATTATAGTAGCAGCTATCATTCTCGGTGGCACTCAGGATTTTGTGGCTTCCTTGATGAAATTCAGCCTTTCTTCCAGGAGCTTGATGACTCAATACCTACTGATCGCCACAGGCTCGATCTGCTTTTTGAGTAAGAAATGGAAACCAAAGTCTCAGATAATTCCAAACTTAGGCAAACCACCTCCTTTTATTTAAAGCAACTCTGTCATGCTCTGGCGAAGGGTGTACTGCTTCTTTAAAGGCGATTAAGAGAAGTAGTCTAGAATTTTCTGGGAATCAGAACTTGAAATGTCCAGTTTACTCGCTGAGTAAATGTGACATCACTTTGGCAGAATGTAGAGTCAACCTGAATGTAAGAGGTGACATATGAAGTAGTTCTTTTCTGCTTAGTTTTCCTATGAAGTGATGATAATGATGATGATAACTGAAGAAGAGGAGGGAAAAAAATCCACAATTTTAATCAGAAATGTATCCTGACTTTACTTATGTACCTAACTTTGTCCTGTCGTGATAAAGCAGCAGAGAAAAGTGGTTAAATCCAAGCACTCTGAAGCCAGGTTGCTGGGTTCAAATCACTCTGTTGCTACTTATTAGCTGAGTCAATAGGGAAAGATGGCTGACATCTCTGGACATCAGTTTCTCCATCTTTAAAATGAAAGTAATAACCCATGTAATTTCATAGGATTGTTTTTAAGGATTAAAGGAGTTGATACAGTGCTTGGTATCTAACGGGATTAACAATCTCAAATATCAGTCCTCTTTCCTATCTAGGCTATTACCTCACTGATAACCAAAATGTATCCATTTATTTAGTGTGTATTTATTAAGCCCCTTTTATGTTCCATGCCCTGCAGTCAGTCAGGGGGTAAAAGGATACACAGTGAGTGCAAACCAGACACAATCCTATTCTTATGGGAATTAAAGAGTGGGACCAAAACTAATCAAAGAATGTCACAAATAAATGTGAATGTGTAACTGTGAAGCACTTACAAAGAACATGTACAGTAGGGATTTCACCTGTTCAGGAAGTCAGAGAAAGTTTCCTGAGGGAAAATGAAGGCTGAGCTCTGAAAGAAGAAGAGGAACATAACGCGGGAAGGGGTGGGTCGGAGACAGGAGGTTGAGAAGAGAACAGAGTGTGCAAAGGCTCTGTGGTGAGAGTCCTACTTAATACTTTCTCTGTCATGCTCAGCGCTGCTTCTCAGGGTTTCCTTCAAGTGGCTCCGACCACCTGGGGGTGTCCCATCCTTCTCTGCTCTACCTAGAACCACCCATTCTTCAAGGGTGAGACCTAATTCTGAATCTTCCACGACACTCTCCTCACTACTTTATAAAACTCCACTGGTGTCCATTTTGGGGGGGAATGTGATGGGAGTGGTACAGGAAAAGTTCACTGCAACCAGAAGATGATAAAACCACCAAAGGATTACTGTCTTAGCTCTCCTGCATGTTAAATTCCCAGAGCACATACACATATACGTCCTAACTTAATGTTTTTATGGAAGGGAAGGGAACACGTTAATTCAGCCAATCTTTGCATCAGCTCTGTGGGGGTCAGTAATGGTACCCCATTCCACAGCTGAGGTAACATTAAGGTGGAGTAACCAGCCATATTCCTCTAACTGGAGTGAGTTGGCAGCCCTTTGAACTTGGGTCTGTCCACCTCCAAAGCCCATTCACATTTTCCATGTCACTGGCTACCACTTGGCTCGGTCGCC